CGCAGTCTGTTTGGTTCTTAATTTCCCTGAATAACTTGGCATCGTCCGCAAACATTCGTGTGGAGGAGTGTATAGCTTCCGGCATGTCATTTATTAAACAAACAAACAAACGAAAACGGGCCCAATGCACTGCCATGTGGTACCTCGCTTGTGGTGAAGTCTGGCAGCTCGTTTCGTTGAAAAAGTTTCCCGTCCGAAAGTCCATGTAGTGTTATTTTACCTATGTTTGTTCACATGGAGTAATACCAGCAATATCTTGGAATAATTTTAAAACATGGTATTCTGTGTTTTAATGTATACAAATTATAATGCATGTGTGTGTGCTATCAATTTCTAAATCTATCTCGACAACTAAAACGAATTCCCCTTGAAATTTCTGGTGACAAGGCCTGTTATATATACAAATATTGTAGGTGTACAGTTCAGTTAACTTGAGTACAAGGGATAGTGTACACAAGGACTGGTGTACAAGAACTAGTATACAAGTCGAGGAACCAGTCCAATAATAATAATCAAACCTATGATAATTTGTTTGTTAGGCGAACGCTTTACCGACTGACACACACCCACGCACACACAAAGAGGGTCTCTCTCTCTCTCTCTCTCTCTCTCTCTCTTGCCATGCATATTAAAGATAACTGCAAGATAACTGTTATTAATTCTTAATTCTTTCTTCTCATATAATCATAGTCATGTACATAAACACACTACAAACTTATTTACTGAGTTTTATACTTTCAATTTCTCGCCTCGGATGGCATCTTGCGTACCTGTGTGTGTTTGTGTGTAGACATAAACAACGTACGTGATTGGTTACTTTAAACTCCCGATATTTTACATCCTGTGATTGGTTAAACGCCCGATATTTTGCGTCCTGTGATTGGCTATTTTAGACTCCCGATATTCTACATCCTGTGATTGGTTATTTTAAACTCCCGATATTCTGTGCCCTGTGATTGGTTGATTTATCCATGGAAATTTCCCAAAAGTTTCGGGAAAGTAATTTGTACTTAATGCTCTTCGGTAAAGTGAAAGTATAAAATGTTCTCCTAAAATGTACTTAAATTAAAGTAAAAGTTGTTAAAAAAAAATCTGAAAAGTCCATCCTGAAAAATGTTATCTTAGAGTTGGTGTTTGGTTCTGTTGAGATGTTTGTGATAGCGACAACGTTTCATCTTTGGTTTATAAGGTGTCTCATGTACACTTGTTTCGAGGAGTTCCCTTACGTAAATGTCACCTACATCTTCTAGTGTGACGTTGTGTACATCTACATCTTCTAGTGTGACGTTGTGTACACCTACATCTTCTAGTGTGACGTTGTGTACATCTACATCTTCTAGTGTGACGTTGTGTACATCTACATCTTCTAGTGTGACGTTGTGTACACCTACATCTTCTAGTGTGATTCTGTGTTCACTCTTACATCCACTTTTACTAGCGTCTATTTGTACAGTTTTACATATATATATATTTTTTTTAATTTTGCCACTTACAGCAGCTAGTTTATTGTGCCCCCCATACTCATCCTGTGAGCTGTAGCACAAAAGGATTACAGAGTAGAGTTCACAAAGGGTCTGTATAATTAACCTCCGTGGTTAGGATATTATGGCATCGAATGTTACAGAGTATTTCAAATAAATTGTTTTAGTTCTGTACATAGAGGGTGACTTATTCACAACTGCGTGAGTACAAAAGTGTAAGGCAATATGTCTGGCCGCACACTTTGTTATTCACATTTGCGTAAGAGGTATTCAAGCACATGTGTGTTTGGTTCTATACATGGGAAATTATATAGCTACTCAGTGCAAAAAAGTGGATACACTCTTAGAATGTCAGCTATCTTGCGAGTAGAGATAAAGTGTTGTGCCATTTCACACACAGTGTGCTTGGATATACTGCCAGGGGTACTTATATCCTAATCTTAATCTAGCAGTTACAACATCTTGTAATCTAGTGATCTTGTTACTTGCTCCATATACATGTTTCACTTGATACATCTCATGGTAAACCATGGATCGACTACTGTGGCGCCTGTTTGCATTTGTCTGCGGTTTGGGACACTTATCCAGAGAAGAACCTGAGAGCTCAGACTCAACTTCGTCGCAAATCAGGTACACGCACATGCGTTGGTCCTGACGGCAGCACCACCATCCCAAAACGAAACTGGCAAAAGTATCTGAGCATAAAGATAACAAGAAGGAACTCTTCTCCTTCACCAGCCAAAAACGTGCTTACTACTCTCATCCTCACAACCAAGTCTGAGACAGTGCTGCCCAGTGCCCAACAAGCAGCACGACATGTCTGCAATCACAGTGAAGCTGACTAGCGAATCATTCTGCACCTGGCTCATACTTCTCCCCAGGGGCACGAGAGAGCTTATGTACGAACTGTGGATAGTAATGTTGTCGTGCTTGCGATCGCCTTCTTTGAGCAACTTGGCCTTTCAGAGCTCTGTGTTGGTTTTGGGAGTGGCAAGAACTAGTGATATCCCAGTCCACAACCTGCAATCTCAGTTGAGTCCCTCAAAGTCACTAGCACTTCCCCTCTTCCACGCACTCACTGGTTGTGATACAACCTCTCAGCTCCTTGGTTGAGGAAAGAAGACCGTTTGGGATGTGTGGAACAGCATGCCTGAGTTGACGGGAGACGCTGCTTGCTCTCTCAGATGACCCCGAGTCCTTCTCTTTAGAATCCATCCACATGAAGCGGCTTGAGCTTTTCCATGTACTGGTATGCAACAATAGCTGTAGCGCTGCAACAGTCAATGAGGCGACTAGGCGAGGTGAAAGCTCTTCAGTCAATCCCTCCAACTTAAGCAGCCCCGTTTTTGCATAGCAAGAGGTCTCTTTTGCAGACATGTTTCATCTGGAAACAGGCAGTCTTTCTTCAGAAGGAGGTTCCTGAATTTGACAAGTGACAAGTGAGTTGGATGAGAAGATGAAGTAGTGGGTTCCCGTATGGACCATACTCGCAAGGAAATGTCCCATTCTTCTCCGCTGCAGCTGTCTGAAAGCATGCCAAGGGAGCTGCAAATGCAGCAAGACAGACTTTTACTCCACAGCACTTTGTGGGCATGAAGGAGGCAGAATCAACAATGATGTTGATGATTAATGATGAATCAGCCAATAGTAAATCATTTTTATTTCATTTTGGGCATTGACTGTCAATTGATTGATTGTAATTTTCAAGCATTTTATTTTTTGTGTGTGCTGTATAGTTTATCACCTGATTTTGATCGAAACCATTTCATTTGTATCCATGTCCATTACATGTGATTTGATCGAGTCGTTTCATTTAATTTGATTCTGTTGATCTATTGTTATATTACTATTATTCTATTCTATACCTGTTCTATTCTATTCTATTCTAATTCTGACCTGATTCTATTGATCTCTAGATTCAATATGATTCTAACTGAGGTGTGCATTTAGCATCCGTACTGTTCAGCAGGGGAGGTCAATAAAAAAATCGTTCATTTTTATCTATAAGGCGGTGTTATACAAGGCTCTAAGTCAAAGAATTAAAAGGTTAGCATTTCAAGATGGTCGCCGGTGGTCCTGGAAAAGACCTTGACCCTAACCCTATTGACCTGACCTTGATCTAAGTTGTCCTAAAACAACAACAATCGTCTTAAAGCTCTAGTAACACACCATTCAGATACCTAGATCTTCAAGATGACCCCAATATCAAGGTTAGGGCCAAAATGAACTTGAACCTGACCTTGATACATTAACTTGACCTTGAATCTTAGAAGCAAAGGATCCTACGGGCATCAGCTGAGAGGCCTTTAGTATTTCTATGGAGAAATTCTATTTTGGCATTACTTTTTTAACTATATTATCTACGATTAATTCACCAGACAAGCAAAAGTCAAGAGTTAGTCCAAGTTATTTCACTGAGGTTACAGATGAGATGGTTCATTCCCACAAAGAACAATGAAGTTGTTGACCTTTTTGAGTGTTTTTTTTTATCCAAATAATATTACATCAGTCTTTCCAAGATGTTGTGTATGAGCAACTGTTTGCATGACTCCAGTTCAGATGATAACTCGTTAGCTATATGATTTGGATCTTTATCTGACACTAAAAGAGCACTGTCGTCGGCATACAGCAAAAGTTTACAAGTAATAATAATGGGCATGTCCGTGTGGGACTCCACAGGCTATTGGCATGGATGTTGACTCGGTGTTATTTGCAACAACGATTTGCTTCCTGTTGCTAAGATATGATTTAAACCAGTCAACATACCCAATGCCAAGAGCCTGCAGTTCTTCAGGTAGTATATCATGATCAGTTGTGTCACCGGCTTATTGCAAGTCTAGACCTGTGTAATTTTCCTGGGCTGTTTGGGCTGGGATATAGTCAGTGAGATGGGTCAGACTGGTGTCAGTTGAGTGAGAGCCCCTAAAGCCTGATTGATATCTTTTCACCTGAACATACATTGCATTCTCTAGAATTTTTGATACAATACACAGTATACTGACTGGCCTGTAATGACCTACATCAGACCTGTCGCCTTTCTTACAGGTAGCTGTTACTCTGGCAAACTTATACTTACCTGGTACAGTATTGGTGCTAATAGAGAGATTAATTAGATGTGTTATTGGTGGCTTTAATGCAGTGGCACCGTCCCTCAAAAACCTGGCTGGGATGCTTCAATACCTGTGCTCCTATAGGGATCCAGGTTACTTAACTCTAACACCTATAGAAAAAAGACTCTCACCACGCGGATTTCAATACTAACTGGAATGATTCCTTTCTTTTTATAGTGGGATTTAAAGGCCTCTGAACCCACACTATAATTGTTTGAGGCTATCGGAAATTTTTCACCTAAAGATGAGTTAACTGTAGTATAAAAGGAATTAAATTGGTTTGCAACTTCAGGTGCATCATGCCAAGCATGTACAGTACCTTGTGTAGGGTTGTTAGGTGATCCTGTAGAGTGGGATCACACACCACGGTACACAAATAATTGTTTCTGGGTAAAGTTGCAAACCCAAATTGTTTTTCTCTTTTTATTATAACAAAATTCATCTATGTACAATTAACGTAGGATGTCACCATAACTAACACTATGAGCAGTTAGCTTAGGAGGGTATGAGGCGAGCACCCTGTAAATGGAGCTTCGTTCCTCCGAGTGATCAGTGTGAGATTCCTGGGCCATCTGTGGTAACCGGCTAATAGTTGATGACCACTGCTGGACAGTGGTGCGCAGGGTCATTTGAAAGACAATGAGGTTTGGTGATAGCGCCACTGGCATCAATATTTACTAGTCACTTGCTCATAGTTTAATTACCGTGGTTGATGTAACTAGATACAACTAGTGTGTGTAGCCCATATTTATATAAATATTGCTGCCTGTTAGACAGGGGCTAATACAAGCTCATTATTGATATTTAACACTATATTGGAACGTTCTTTTGGTTTGTTGCTGTGTCCGAGGGTTTCTACAATAGTTACTTCCAGAACTTTTGGGGGTTATTTTATTTTCCTCAATCTTATTGTTTAACTATTCTTTTTTTTTCGTTTACTTAACATTTCTCTCTACTTTTTTTTAGTCTTTTTCTTTTAAACTTACGAACGAGGTGACGTGTGTATGATTGACTCCATTATCTCACTAGTCATCCAGGGTTCAGCCCTAGCTTATATTCTATAATCTTTTAAGCGTGCTACGTTATCAAGAACATTTGTAAAGGTAGTTTTGAACTTCTCTGAGGCTTTGTTAACCTCCATGCAATTTGTCACATGTGACTAATCAATATTTTCCAGTCTATTTGGGAACTTTTCTTTATTGTAATTTTTCATCGATCGTGTTTTGATTAATGTGTGCTGTCCTGTCTTACCCCTGACCGTTTCCCTGCTGCAGGTGGTGATAAAGTGGTCACTAAGGCCAACAGGAATGATCCTACTTGACTGATTTTATCTTGGCTAGTATGGTGGCTGAGGACTTTGCTATTCGGATTGATGAATTGATAACTTGTTTAAAGCCGCATATATCTAAGACTTTTTTATACAGTATTTCTTATACATGCTGTTTTATTCTTGCTTAAAACAACTATTAATGTCACACTGTATTATTGTTTCACAGTCGGGTCCAGTGTTTGATAAAATCTTGACAAAAAGATCCTCAAACTAACTATCGTTGGGAGGGCGGTAGAGAGTGCCTACGAGGATGGGTTTAGTTTTGAGTAACAATATCTCCAGCCGTAGGCCCACAAGAAGGTCATCATGTAAGTTAGATTTAAGGTTGTAGGTTAAGTCATTTCTTATATAGGCACAAACACCGCCCCCCCATGCCTGTTTCTGTCTGGACGTTGCACAATTACCTCCGCTAGAGAAAGGCGCATATTACTTAGGAGAGCCATAACAATGATTCAGAGCACTGAGCACACTAATAAGTTCCACTGGTTGGACAGAACACAATATTGATGTGGACGGTGGTGTGGATGGTGATGTTTCTTTAATATATATTTTGGGGGGGGGGGTGAGGGGGGGGGACAGCAAAACGTAGACGTCTCCAAGAAATTGTCCATTGACAGAAAACCAAGGATTCAATGCAACAGAAAAGGAAAAGATTTGGTGGGATTGTACCGAGTATTTAGGGAAAGTAAGAGGATGAACTGAATCGCCTGTCAGTCTTTATGAAACACGTAATAAGGTGTTTAATGCCGGCTGATGATTGTTGATCAGTATTGCTGTAACTTCCTTCGGTAGCTGCTGATGATGCGATAGCCGTCCTTTAAACAGTCACTGGACTCACTGTGTAGTCGGTGGTCACATAGTCACTGCTGATGAACTCACACTCGTAGCCTCTGGTGGGAGTGACAGGGCCCATGAAGGAGGCTTCCGGGAACGTGGATGTCATGTTAACTAGACCGTGGCCTATGTAATGGCAACCACGACCCAACGAGTGACGCAACCGACAACCAGCGCGAAACACATTCTGAAAGATATTTAAACTTGTTAAAGGGGTCAGATGTTTTGAAATATACATATGTTGATTGGACGAAAGGCATTTTGGAAATGGAGGAAGAGAAAAAGTATTAATTCCTTATTTTCTAGTTACAGTGTTTATGTGAGTGTGTTTATGTAAATTTATATTATGTGTAAAAAAGATCTCCAAATGAAAACTTCATAAAAGTTCTGGATAATTGAATCCTTTTATCATATGTGAACCAAAAGCAAATAACTTTTCAGCGACAATTGTTGTTGTTGTTATAATGTTATTACTGCGCTTCAACAACAAAGGTCTCTCAGCAGAAAAGAAAATGAAGATTCTAACAAAAAATCATATATACCTGTATAAATATATGCTACCTTTTTCACCTATAAAGAGTTATATAGACGAAAATATCTAGTAATCGTTGAGGCTTACGTATACCATTACAAATTACCACTTAATAATTGGCTTCCATTATACGTGTGGTGTTTCGCTTGAGTCTATAACGACCAGGAAGCGTACCATGATCAATATAATGACCGCCATGACACTTATGATGACTAATATAACACACACAGTGATCAATATAACAACCACAATGCCCAAAAGATACCGGCATATCAGATAAAGCACAGGAGGTCCTTATGACGTCAACAACCTTCATATGATAGATTTTTTCTCATCAATCAGAGAGAAAATGACGGAGACTGAAAGACCAATCAGCGCACCTCATACCCACATACTTGTATATTCAGCAGCTGGTATCTGAGGCCCAGCAGCAGGTATCTGAGGCCCAGCAGCTGGTATCTAAAGCCCAGCAGCTGGTATCAGGTCCAGCAGCTGGTATTTGAGGCCCAGCAGATGGTATTTGAGGCCCAGCAGCTGGTATCTGAGGCCAGGCAGCTGGTGTCTGGTGGCTTGTATGTGGGGTTTGGCAGCTGGTGTGTGAGGTCTGGCAGATGGTGTCTGGGGTCCACCAGCTGGTATTTGGAGACCTGCAGCCGGCCACCGAGGCAAAATGAACCTTAACAGCTGGCGTGCTCATGAGAGCGGGAAATGGTTCATGACATGAAGGTTCTGACCCGCATGACGCCAATTTGGCATTCCAACACTGACACTGTGACAGCCTGGCATTATGACAGCCAGAGACTGTGAACACCTGGTACAGTGCCTGCCTGACACTGCGATAGATTAGCCCTATGACAGCCTGACACTGTAACAGAACGGAACTTTGACAGAAAAACACTGTGGTAGCCCGGTACTGAGACAGCGTGGCGCTATGAAGCTGTAAGACTGTAATAGTCTGTTACTATGGCAGATGGGCACTATTCAGGCCCAGCACTGCAGCGGTGTAGCTATGTGGTAACCTGACGAGGGGATTGTGGTTGCTGTCTTGGCCAATGTTACCCCCCCCCCTCTCCCTCACTCACTCACTCGCTCATCATTGCCACATCCGCTCCTAACCCAAGGTTACACTCGGACCTTGAGTTGGGTGAATGGGTAGAAGAGCGGTTAAATGCGAGGATAGGCGGATAGGTGGCGGTGGGTAAAGGGATAAACAGAGGGGCTGGCGGGTGGATGAACAGAAGAGTGGTTTAATGGATGGATGAAAAGATAGGTAGATAAATGGGTAGAAGAGGGATTGGTGGGTAAGGCGGCAAGTGGACAGGTAGGTAAACCGGCAGATGGGTGAGTGAGTAGAAAATTGTGTGTTTCGGAAGGAGAAATACAAAATGAAAAAAGATCAAGAATGAGAAATGATTTATGTATGTTGTGTTGTCAAAGTAAGAGAAACAATTGAAACCCTCGAATTGTGTGTAAATGAGGCAGAAAGTCTGATCAACAACCTGGGACTTGGTCACAATTTTCGTGATGCCATATGTCAGCAGGGTCTACCATTAGACAACACATTATGCTTCCTATATCTTCCCAGGCGGTATTACCTCCCTGATTGGTAGCTGCCTACTACTTACTGCCTGTGTGGATGGGCGAGTCGGATGGCTGGTGGATGGGTGGGTAGGAGGGCGGGCGGATGGGTGGGTAGACGGGAGGCTGGATGGGTAGGTGGAGGTATGGGTTGATGGTTGGCGAGGAAATTGACATGTAGGGTTGGTGGATGAGTAGGATGGATGAGGGTACCAAACAGATTACAAGCTGCAGGTTGTGTTGGTACCAATGTAGGCATCAAACATTTTACAGGCTGCAGGTTGTGTAGGCTTCAAATCGTTAACAGGCTGCAGGTTATCGGCCATGAGGCAGTCTGGCCATGTAGATGCGATGATGATGGTTGATGAATATTTCCTGTTGACGTGATAGCAGGTTTTGTCAGTATTCGACAGACTAAGCAGCTGGTCACATCTAAACAACCTTTAATAAAGAAAATGCCTCGCCTATCTCGCATTACAGCTCTCTGTCATAGGCTAGTGTGTGCTTCTTGAGAAACTACACACAAGTTGAATTTTGCCAGCTTTTCTAATAGCTAATTTTGTCTTAATATTACCTAGTCTGTTTGCTTTTATTACATACAGTAGGTACAGAGGTTTAGGAGCACTGAAAAATACAACTGTATTCAGTAAACATATAAACAAAATATAGAGCATAAATTTTGTACACAGTTTGTTAATGAAATTGAAGGTGAATGTGGGTCCCAAAGACCTAGCGGTCCATAAGAAACAGTATACAGTATATATTACGTTTATTTTTCGGAATCAATTATTTTTCAAAATGACCGACATGCATATTGGTAATTTTGCAAATTAACTTACAAACAGACAACCTAAACTAACCTAACCTTATGGCTAGGACAGCACATGGTCCAAAATTTAAAAAAACAAAAACAAAAAAACAGGACCACTTAACTGTGTATCAAGCTACACGATCCATCCTAACCTAACCTAACCTAACCTAACCTAACCTAACCTAACCTAACCTAACCTAACTTAACTTTATTCAACCAAAAGGTTAGGTTAGTTTAGGTTGTCTGTTTGTAAGTTATTTTGCAAAATTACCAATATGCATGTCGGTCATTTTGCAAAATAACTGATTCCGCAAAAAAACCGTAACATACTGTATATACAACACACTGTATTAAAGCCAGCAATCCTTCCTCATAAAAATTTAGGTACCCATTCACAGCTGGATGAACTGGGGGGCGAATCAACGACCTTTAGGACGATAGATGATCGCTATATGAAATTTGTCGCTGTACTCTTAATTTGTCAAGGTGTGTATAAGTCATTACTTATATACCACTGTTAAAGTTCAGTTTCAAGATACATACACAAAAAATAAGAAAGAATGGGCATCGCTAACAGTTTCATGGAGTTAACATTAGTCCCAGTGAGTCTTTGCTCTTGATATGAATGAAAAAAACTTGTTGAATGTAAGTAAACAAATTCCAGTGCGTAACTTCCCCAGTGAAGAATTCTTCGGTGCAAAGTTTGTCTCTATAACAATTATATTTCGAGTTTGAATACTTGTTTTCTTTTTCACATTTTACATTACAGTGAAAACACAGTCGACAAATAAATACACTTATTCATTCATGCCAAACAAAGATTACAGACTTGATAAGAATACTGCAAGACAATACTGTATTGTACCGTGAAAATGAAAGCAAACTGAACACTTGATCATTATAGTGCGCAAAAGATCATCACGTGTAAAGACAGAGAGACTCACATCATTTTGTAAAACAGTAGGTCTTTACCTTTTTCCTGGGTCGTCTCCTCTTCTTGGCTGCAGCAGCAACATTGACCTGGATGGTGGTACACTCACTCAGGGGCCTGGTCTTGTTGTGATGCACCTGTACACCTCCCTGCACGGGGTCATCCTCCTCTCCCATTACATCCTCCTCAACTAGCAGTTGTTTGTCTTCTTTCTTGCTATTCCCCCTCCACTTTAATTCCCATACATATCGAAAAAGGTGGTTTATTTTTTTACGCTTATTGAGGATGAATGTTATCATTTTGTTTCGTTCACACACTGGCAATAAGGTCTCGTTCTTCGAAGTCTCAGATACATTTCCTTGGGTTGAAATGGAAGTATCGATGAGAGTCTCATTTTGCCGAGGATAGTGCACTTTGTTAACCACAGAGTCTGTAACGGAGATCCGCACTGAGCTGATGTGATTGACTTCTGCTTTTCCCGACATAAAATAGTCACCGAGAGTTTCTTCATAAGTCTTAGATACAGCCAAGTTACGGGCGTTAATTTTCAACAGAGTGAGATCTTTTTCACACTGTTTAAGATCCATCTTGGTGAACTGTTCTTGAATGTCGGAGACATTTATTGGATGTGTGTCCTGGATATTTATTTCAGTCTCCTGACCACTACAACGCATTTGGTAATTTATAAACTCTGTATGAGCTGATAAGTGATTGGACTTCGGGTTCATATTCTTGTGGTCGGCCGATTCTCCTTGTGAACTCAGTATGTGAGTTTCCTTGGAGGCAGTCTCTTCACTGTTTCCTGGTAAACTTACGCCTGAGTGTAAGTCATGGCAAGCACTGTCTTCATTGTTTGTCTCAACGCCTCGCCTAGATGTATTATTATTGTTTTTATTGTTAGTGGCAATTCTCTGCTGTGTGTTGGCTAAGTTGGACGTCCTAAATCCAATTTGAGGACCCAGAGATGCTGAGTGTCTCTTGTTGTGCTTTAACTTATTCACATCCACTTTGAGCTTCTTTCTCTTGGCCTTCGGCTTCTTGAGGAGATACTCACTGGGTGCACTGGGGCGGCAAAGGTTACTCTCGGTGAAGTCCGCCATATAAACTGGGCTGGGAGATCTTTACTTGTCGAACTGAAAAAATAGAAACCATTCTAAAGAACTAGGAAACTTACTTCAACTCTTTGTATGGAGACACTATGACAACATAAAAAGTCGTTTTTACAACCAAGGTCTAGTGAACAATATCCCAATAGGTAAAATCCCACCAATTTCCCATGGATCAAATTACCTTTAGCAAAATTAGACAACTATAAAAGACCTAATACCCTGTTAGGTTAAGATAGATTATAGGTTGAGTTAGGTAGAGTAGGTTAAGGTCACCCTGATTACTCTCTGCTACCAGGAACAAATATTTATACTACAACAAGAGCTGCTTAGAACACGATAAAAAAAATGGTCCTAAAGGTTCATAAGATATTTTTGTTTCTAGCTGGTGATTTAAAAACGCCTCTTAAGTGGTTCGGTTCACCTAAAACACAAATCAACTTTCGTTCTATCAAAACGGAAGTTCTCTTACCATCAGTGACTTCATAACAAGTGCCTGGTTAAGAGTCAGTCACGTTCTGTATTCATAATCTACACCCAGGATGCATATTCTAGACCTAAGTGATATTTCAATAGACAATATCGACCCAGGCAATGTTTACTCGTAGGTTGGTGAAGAGGAAAAATATCTCTTAACATGATTAGTTGAGAGACAAGTCAGAGGTTCAGGGGGTTCGGAGTTCCGTGAAATTGTCTAGGTAGCTGTGTACTTTTTTTCTTTTTTTTTTTATTGGGCACCCCCCTACATCCTTGTGTAAGGTGGAGCGCAGAAGCGTTTACAGTGCCCAACAGGGAAGCATGCTAAGTTCACGCTTGCCTTTATGTCTCATGAGTTAAGGGCGTAGAAGCCTGAAGAGTCAAGGGCATAGAAGCCTGAAGAGTCAAGGGCATAGAAGCCTGAAGAGTCAATGGTTTATGTCATCAAGTTATTGGAAGCTCCAACAACTTGTCCCTGAATACGAATTCGCAACTTTTGATTTACACCAGGTGCCTACTTTACTGCTAGGTGAACAGGGACTAATGAGGGCTAGGAAGTATGTCCAAACAACTTCCACCGGCCCGGGAATCGAACCCGTGACATCTCGCTTGCGAAGGCAAGAGCGGTACCACTCTACCACCAGCACCCCGTAGCTGTGTACTGTGGAATAATTTGTCCTTGCTAACTGTGTCTGAGACAGTTTGGGAATAAGAAGTAATTGAGATTTACAGTTCAGATACTAAGTGACCATGCAGTTGGTACCTATGGTGTGAGGAAAAATTATGTAGAAGGAATTAAGATTTGATGTACTGCACATGGGCGATTTAGTGATGAGCGTATTGAAGAAAACTGTTCGTTTCTGATACTTGATACTAAACTATTGTGTCAATTCCTAAAGATAAAAGATACTCTTGATTGGTGCTATGTGAACAGTTGTGAAGGTTATGGTAAATTATTATCAAGGTCAGAAAGTGTAGTAATATTTAAATATACTCGCACAATAATTCCAGGTGCACTCGTGAAGTTACTATGAACTGTGATTTTCTTCTTGTCCAGTTAAATTGATTTACAATGATTTTTTTTTTTGTAGAACGACTATTCATAGGGCCTTGTGGAAGGTTTTGAGAGTTAGATTAGACTTAGAGAAGTCAGGTAAATGTGATGATGTTGTAAACACTGCCTCATAACTTCCCCGTGTGGTAACAAGGCAATAGACAGTTTATTGGCAGATAATTTTATATTCAATAATTGTGGAACCTGCTATATACTATATAATAATTACAGTGATTCCGGTGCATGCAAAAAGTTTAATGTTTACTCCACTGAAAATAAACTATTAATTTACTTGGTGGGAGAGTTAATAATTGCCGTAGTCACTTTAAAGAAAAAAGACATTTTATTGTGCATAAAACCTGAGTTTGTTATTTTGTGAGTGGAGCGACCAATGTGTAGGCCTACCCCATGATTTGTTGGTATAATTTACAATGAGTAAAGTTTTTTCTTCATTTGTATTCGGTGACATTTAGTTGTGGAAGATGACAGAAAAGTGTTAGATATTTTAATGCATGATGTAAACATATATGAGTTCAGTTAAAGTACTAGTGTCTATTCAGTGAGGGATTAAGAAAACCTTACAGGAATGTTGTAGAAGTGTGTTAACAAATGCTATATCGTATGATCCATGACATAGTCCAGTGGATAACAGTGGGATGTTATTTTGTAATTTATATTCATGATGTGCTATTCCTTCAGGATATTTTACGTGGCATGTTTGTATGAACATTGAAACTTTAACTGACAACATACCAAGAAATATGTTGATATTTGGACACAATTTATTAATTTTATATTAATCATCAGTTTAATTCAATAATAATTAATTTTTCAATGTGTTCTTAAAGTTCCCATAACTAAAGACTTTAAAGAGCCATTTTTTCACCTCTGGGACCCTATCTCTTATTTTTACCTGGGGTGGATAACTCTCAGCCGCTAAGTAAATAAGGCAATTATAAGGAAAGTTTTAATAATAGATGCAATAAAGAAAGTTAAGCTAAAATTAACTGTGAGAAAGATCTTGAACTTTTAAAATCTCTGATATCCTCCGAGTGAACAAAAATATTCTTGAAATCAAAATGTTTTGGTGAAAAAATGAATTCCTTACTTGGTGATGGAAGCACTTATTATGAGCTGAAAAAAGATCCCTGGAAAATTTAATCAAGTTGTTTTACTATAAAATGAAGGATTTATTGAAAAAGAACCCAGATTTCATCAAACAGTTCTCGCAAATCAATCCCACTTTACCTTATTTGTATGAATTGTTTCAAACATATTAGCCTAATAAATTCATTACTTCCTATCGTGAGTTCTGTGGTTGCTGCCACGTACGAATTAATTTTCTGCGTCAACAAAATGACTGACAGACTTTGGTGTGAGTGAAGTTTGATGGCACACAACATTTACACATTTTTCTTTTACAGTAGGAAAACACGTTGATTATTTTCCAGTTCCAATGTACTTATTTTTTACACATGTAATTTTCCATAGTTTTTCTCAGACACTGTGACCCTATACCACTGCACTATGTTTCTCAGATTTAAATCAATCATGAAGCATTTAGACTATGGTAAGTAATTCTCTAACCCTGATGGAATTACATTAGCCCTTAATGCACTGCTGTAATGCTGAACTACGTGGCTTTTTTAACATTATCGAGACTTACCAACACGAAGCCAACCTCTCCAGGACCACTCACAGGTGTTTACTATTCTGGCCCTGAGAAGTGTGGTGTTGGAGGAGGGGTGGCCACCACCATCATGTACAGATGCCAACCACCGCCACCTAAACCTCGCCTTAACTCTCACCACGATAACACGCCAAGTGGATATTTTATAGAGTTACAGAACAGTTGCGGTAGTTACTCCTATCAAGGTAAAATATCATATTGTAACACTTTAACCAACCGGTATTACTGTAACTGCCTCTGTACCTAAATATCTGTTCTTGTGATGATGTATATCTGGATGAACTCTGGATTTTATTGAGTGAAGGCCGAAACTATCTCGTCAGCGTGAGATATGAAGAATGTGTAAATGATTTATTATATACAACACGAAATCTAGATGATAGGTACCCAACCGGGTATCTATTCCAGCATGTGAGTACCAACCACCTCCTTGGGTGATGTCTGGTGGTGAGTTAGAACAGCTTCAGGAGCGTCACGACTCCATTATGCTAAATGAAACAACTTATAAAACCGGAGAAGCACAGTATTGTGGACTTAAGTAAAATATCTAAGTTTCCCTTTAAGGCTTAGGTTCTGTAAAGCACTCCTCCAAATCCCCCCTCTTCAGAGTTACCTCATTTTTCCAAAGTTTCCTCATCCCTCTAAAGTTCTCTCACTCCTCCAAAGTCTCATCGTCCCTCCAAATCCTTTCACCCCACCAAAGTTTCATGAAATCTTTAAAATTCTCTTACCCCTCTAAAGTTCCCTTGCCCCCCAAGTTCCTTTATCCTCCGAGATTCCTTTACCCTTCCAAAATCCCCTCATCTCTCCAAAATTCCCTCACACCTGTAAAACGTTCTCATCCCTCCAACGTTTCCTTAGCCCTTCAAAGAACCAAAGTTCCCAAATCCTTCCAAAGTCACCTAAACTCTCTAAAATCAATTTGTTACTCCAAATTCCCTCGAACTTCCTTCATCTCTCTAAAATTCTCATATCTCCTAAATTTCATTGATCACTCCAAAATCCTCTCACCCATCCAAAGTCCTCTCATCCCTGCAAAGTCACCTCATCCCTCCAAAGCCCTCTCATCCCTCCAAAGTCACCTCAATCTCCAAAGTCCCCTCACCCCTCCAAAGTCCCCTCACCCCTCCAAAGCCCCCTCATCCCACACAATCTTTTAACGACCACGAGACCCTTGCATCAGCCCCTATTAACCCCCCCTCTTCCCTCCCCCCTCATTAATCAGTGACATTATATAATCCTCCTTACTAAACAACGCAGCACTACATTTTGGAAGTACATTATATCATAGAACTCACTTCGTTTTATAGCAATACAGTTTACCAAACAATAAACACGAGTATGATGAAAACCTCCAATCGTGTATACTCATTTAGGACAGAAGAATATTATACAGTAATAATAATAATAATAATAATAATAATAATAATAATAATAATAATAATGTGTTAAGAGGATAAGTGTAATTTGAGACAGACTGACTACAGACTATATCTTAGAGGGATTTACAAATATAACACACATGCACATACATACTGTACACTCACACACACACACGCACACACACTCTCTAATTAACTCACGCTCAGAAACGTGTCACAGCATACAGATCATTCACAAACTCTCATCCTGTATTCTGTATGCGAGGCACCGTGTTGTTGTGGCCTTCCCAGTCCGACCATGGTGCACAACCCCGCACTGCCCTACACCTTGGTGTACCGGTCCCATCCCTGCCCTACCTCGGTGTACTGGTCCCATCCCTGCCCTACCCCGGTGTACTGGTCCCATCCCTGCCCTACTCTGGTATTGGTCCCGTCCCTGCCCTACCCCGGTACTGGTCCCTTCCCTGCCCTACGGCTGACTAAGTCTGCAGCAGTGTCATCATTAATGCATCCCTCAGACAAAGCAAATGCCCTAATGAATGGAAAACCGCATTTGTCACCCCCATCCCCAAGGTCACCACCCCACAGTCCCCTAACGACCCTCAGGCCAGTTGCCATTACCCCCCATACCCAGTCTACTTTGTGAGGACTTTGTTTTGAGTGGGCATTTGCCAGAATCTATCAGTCAATTGATCCACAGCAATTTGGCAATATGAGGACCTCCTCTACATCACACTGCTTAGTGAGCTTTCTGGATTTTCTGCACAAAAACCTGCAGAAACGTAAGACATCACTGGCCGTTGCCCTTGTTGACTTCAGGAAGGCCTTTGACCTTGTTGGTCACTGCACTGTTATCAACAAGGCCATTGCGCTTGGGTTGCCCACCAACCTGGTCTCATGGCTCACTGATTTCTTGAGTGGACGTCGCCAGGCAGTGAGGTATCAGGGCTTGGGCTCCACATTCCAACACCTCACCTGCAGTGTTCCCCAGGGGACCAAGATGGGACCACTGTGCTTCCTCATCCTGATCCGACGCTCTATTGGACACTCCTCACAGGTGGAAGTACGTGGATGACTGCACTGTGGGGGTTTCAGTGGACAACACCGCACCAAACTACTCTTTGCTACAAGGCACCCTGGACAGGCTACAGGCATGGACTACGGAGAACAAGGTCACCATCAACCACACCAAAACCGTAGTTATGCACATCAATACCGCCACCACTCCAGTGCAAGCCCCAGCAGTCACAGTGGGTGCCCATCCTCTCCAGCTGGTGCAGTCTGCCAAACTCCTGGGTGTAACTATAGACAACAAACTTGACTGGAAGGCCCATGTAAATAACACAGTCAAGGCAGCCTCGTACCATCTCTACATGCTACGACGACTTAGGTCACTTGGGACACCCACGCCAGAGCTGAGGACCATGCACAACGCCTTTATTCTCCCAAAACTAACGTATGCGTCACCAGCCTGGTCGTCTTCCCTCAACTCCACCCAACAACGTCAGCTAGAGAAGGTACAGAAAAGGGCCTGCAGAATCATGCTCGGTGCTGACTACTCCGGCTACATCAACGCTCTCTCCACCCTGGAAATGCCTTCCCTCAGTGACCTCCACCACCAAGCACTGGAAAGGTTTGGCAGCCAACTATTGCACCACCCTCGTCATCGCCACCTCCTGCCACCAGCAGCCCCTCACCCACCTCGCGCAGGCCGCCACTACAACAAAATTCAGCCCATAAGAGCCCGCACCGATAGATATAAGAATAGCACCATCCCATCTATTGTTAAAATAATAAACAACTCCTGATTTATGTACTGTACAGCCCTGTAAATGTATTCAATGCATATTATATCATTATGTCTAAATCAAATGTAAGTGTATATTTTCAGCCACCGGCTGCAACTCTATTAATAAACCGTTTATTATTATTATTATTATTATTATTATTATTATTATTATTATTATTATTATTATTATTATTATTTAGAATTGTGTTATTCAGTAACTATTACATTAGTGAACCGAGGTGATGGATACCATGAATTTGCGAGATGAAAACTGAAATATATATATATAATTTTTTACCGTTCCATGTCCTTTATCCTCTTCACCACTGATTTGCTCGTGAGCACCTTGGGCGATCGGTCACGTCTCTGTTACGCATTGTTGGAAAGTATTAGGCATGCACTGACTAGTGAATGTATTTGAACCTGCTCCAGTGCTTGTCAAGTCAGGTCTTGAAAGAGTTCACACTCGGTGCCGTCACAAGACTCTGACAGATTGTTCCAAGAGTTCACAACTCTCACTCCGAGAAAGTTACCCCTCACAGTTTTCTGGGCTTGCGGCTTCTTCAACCTTGAGCTGTGGCCCCTTGTGAGGTGTGCGTCCGCCAGCTCCAGGTAAGGGCACTTGACTAAGTAGTGCCCTTCGAGATGTCCATACACCTGTAATACAAGCTAGGCAATTTCAGGCGCTCTAATCTCTCAGGGTAGCTGAGGTGCCGTAGTGCAGGCACCAGTCTGGTGGCCCTCCTTTGGACATTTGACATTCCCTAGCATATCCCGGGGACCAGTCGGGGTGACAGTACTCCAGACGGGGAAGCATTCACTCTTGAAGATCATTATGAGGGACGGACTGTCTAGATATCTGAACGACGTTCTTATAAGACCTGATAATTCAATTGCCTGATTCACCTTCTTCTCGCAGTGGCCCGAGAATTTCAGCTCATTGTCAACATACACACCAAGGTCCTTTTCACATTCAGTCTCAATTAATGGTGTTTCTTCTTCCCGTTGGGACAAATGATACGCCTATTTACCGTTGGTACGTTCCAGGTACAGCCTCTTACACTTCGTGACATTGAATCTTAGCAGCCATTTCTTCGTCCATTTTGAAGCTGACAGAGATCCTTCTCCAGCTCTTCACAGTCTGCTTCGTCCTTAATTTCCCAAAATATCTTGGTGTCATCAGCAAACATTTGTATGGAGGAATGTACAGCGTCAGGCATGTTATTTATGAAACAAAAAACAACAGCGGGCCCAATACACTGCCCTGTGGTACCCCGCTTGTGACTGGTACACATGATGAATTCGTGCCACTAAAAAACAACTGATTTTAAAAACTAAAAACTAAAAATTTGATTTTGCTAAAAATCACAGTATGGGTACTCCTGAACTTGCTGATTATGAATATGTGGTCCACGGTTCGATTGCAGAGTAATTATTGGCTAAAATAACCCTTGGAAGATTTTACTGACATTTTTCAATTTTAATTACTCATCAACTATGGGTTCCAAGGTGTGATTTAGGGTTTGTGTGTTATTCTGAAAGTACTTAATTAGCTAAACCCCTTAAATTTCAATTCTGAAAAAAAGTATATATTGGTCAAAAATTTGGTAAGGTGTAAGAATTACATTTTTGTTGGTTTTCTGCCAAAAATTTGATTTTGCTGAAAATCATAGTATGGGTACTCCTGAGCTTGCTGATTATGACTATGTGGTTTGCTACACATCCAAAGTTTCGCCTGGCTGCGACACTTATATTCCAGGAGAAACGCAATTCTGTAAGAGAACATACACTGTTTGCACCAGAAAAAAAAATGACACTGGTGAAGTACTTATTCTACAGAGCTGACAAATTCTGTGTCCTGAGTTTTAAGACATCACTGCGAAGTTTTGCTTACCTGATATCCAGTTTGAGCTACAACCAGTAGGTTGTTGTAAATGTCCTTATTAGTTCACAAGTATCCAGACAATAAAGACGAAGGTGCGTTTATTGTATCTCACCTAGTGTGTGACAAAATACTCTCACACACACCCTATAACAGAGGCCAGAAATCATCTAGTAAATGACCAGTAACCTGGAGGAGCTGGTGAAACATCGTGCTCCATGTAAGACATAAACCCTTTTGTTTTTTCGTGGAAGGTAAACTCCGACTATACATAAGACTTGATAACAACATGTACATGCATATCATAGTCACTTCTCTTGTTAGATAAATTTAAAAGAAAATGACCCATCTGAAACAAAACCTAATACTGTATAACAGATTCCTCTTCATCTGATACCAATATGGTATGTATCATAAGTGGAGTGGAGTGAAAAACTGGCAAAGTGTAGTTATATTTTATTTGTCGTAGCATAACAAATTGAAACATTTTATAAATATCATTAAGTGAAGCTGTAGAAATATTCCATGGTGAACAAAATCACACCGTCTACAATCTGTATTCTAAGCTGTTGCTTAGCGTTCTGCACTAGCGCCTACAAGCTTTGTTGCCCTAGATAGATAAAATCTTTTTAGAAAATTTATTTTGTAGTATCATATAATAATATTTATATATACCCTGCTGTTTATCCAACTTTCGTTGATATGGAGCCTGATTTATTAAGTCACAAATGTAATTTGTAATTTTCCATATTTTGCTGTGCAGTTCAGGGACAGGGGGAGTCTCAGTAACCTAGAAAGCAATTATATTTCTATGTGATATCATACCACCATTTCTAATTACTCCTAGACTCTTGTGAAAAAGAACACGACTAAATGTAAGATGCATCTTTTTTTTTTAATTTACATAAAAACATACTGTATATGATAAGGTGGCATTACCAGTTCTTCTCATTTTACAAATTTTTTCCTCAATTTTCAAGACGCTTAATATAATTTTTGAGGAAAGAAGTGCTTGTAATATATATGCCCTATGTTAAGACTACACTTTAAATATTTACCATTAAATATTTAATGTAATATTTTAACCCCTTAAGTTCAGCTCATTTCGACTTAAAAACTGAGACTGATAGAAACTTTCCTATTCAAATATCATTAATACTAGCATCTGGAGATGACGTGAAGGCAAAATAAAATTCGGCCACCGTGCCCTCAGCCGACCAAAGTGTCAAACCTCATCAGAGTTTTGTTCATATTTGTGAATCTTATTTGATAATTTATTCACATGGTAATTATTTAATGCCACTGTTTCCTAATAATTGTCCTATTTGTGCTAATATTCATTGACATTAAAATGAAGACAAGATGAAATGAAACCGAAATTCTATTTTATAATCTAGACCAGCCTAAGTGTCAGGTAAGTCTATAGGTGAACAACCAGTTTATCCATCAACAAAAGCACCTGGAACTATTCAAAAGTTCTGTGGCTCACAACGAAAGATCTGTTGCTCCTTTGTCTTATAACAGATCCCTGCGGTTACAACAAAAGACCGCAGCTATAGAATGAGATTTCAGGATCGATCCATTATTAAAAACCTCCACCACACTTCGACTTAAGAAAAAAATTCAAATGAAGCTAGACTTAGGATTTTTTTTTTACCCAAAATATTTACTGACACAGTTTCAATATAATATAGTACACGAAAAATAGAAGCATTAAAAATAATAAAGCTCAAAACTGTGAAATTTGGCCACTTTTCAAAATGCATAAAGTCATTAGGTACAGTATTTAGGAGCTATGACCTGGGTTTTTTTTTTTTAATAATACGTATGTACATTATGGTTATTGGTCTATGTGTTCTGACAGTCATGGTAAATTAATTCCATAAACTAAAAGTCCTTTGGCCAGTCAAAAGAAACATGTGCAAAAAAAAAAAAATAGATTAATAAAGTAATGAAGTATCTAAGTATCTAAGAACAAAAATCATAAAAAATATCAAAATTTGGTGGTGTCTTTATGATCCCCAAATAAAAAACTTACTTTTGAGAACATGCACGTTTAAGTTATTCTTGTAATTATGCTATTAGTACTGTGCATTTCTGATTTAGTGTGAATGATAATTAAATATGATCTATAAAGCATTGTTACTGATGTATTTATGCTCCTTTGTGAGTGGTGTGCATGTACTGTCTGGTATTATTTAGGCCTTTACCGGTTACTATAAACATCACTGGGACATTACTGAAATACACGTACCGATATTGCTCCTGCTTCCCACTCACCTTATTTCCTCTTTTTGGCATCTTTAACATGGTAGTGTACGTAAAATACACCGCAAAATACACCAAACACTACACGGTATGTAAAAATGTGTAGCAAAAGCCTTCCCACAATATCCACGTGGAGATGGCTGGTGTAACTTAAGCAGGGAACAACTGATACTGACTCAATGAGATGTCAGATGTAGCTAGGAGAAAGGACAAATAATTAGAAAAAAGCGTAAATAATTGCGAGAAGAGATAATAAATTTAAATATAAATATATGGTAACACCAGCGCTCTGGTAGCTAGTGATGATGAAATCAAAGCCAAGCCTTCCCCTTTATTTTTGTAATTATGTATTTTACGCAGTAAAAATCACCAAATGACTCTGTTACTTCGCGGAGGTGTTGCCAACAGTTTGCTCTATTTTTTATCTATGCAAAGTTAAATTTTGTTATTTTGAACGATTTTTCAACCTCGAAGCGTGGTGGCCTCATGGTGAATTGAAATAAAGTCACTGACTTGTACACATTGACAACACAATATAAATATATATATATGATGGCATTACACGTAGGTTAGGTTAAGTTAGGTCAGGTTAAGTTAGGTTAGGTTTTTTCCCTGCCTTTTTTTCTGTGACTTTTTCTTGTGACTTTTTCCTGGATTCGGCCTCATAATGGCTATATTGGATGACCTATGCTATACATATCAGCTTGTCATAGGAAGGAGCTACAATGCTACATAGGTCATCCAATACATTCGTTAAGTCATCTCTGTGAAAAATCTTCACCCTGTTACACTAGAGGCTATAAATGTGACGTAATATAAGCCTTGCCAGCTCCAAAGTTCATCTGCCACAGAGTAGGTATGAAGATTCACCAATTTTCCTAATACAGATGTTAAAATATAAATGGCATCCCCTATAACATACATAAACCAAGTTATGTATTGCACAATGTCTCAAAATATTTTACATATCTATTTTTATGGGTCATTTTTGTCTACATTATCTTTACAAGACACATGGAGACCTGTCATATCTTAATGTGAAATTTACACAGTATTTTTCTGGACAGATTCATACTAGTGATGATTGTTTCGCTACACTATTTATAAGTCTGTTGTAATAATTAACTAACAAGGTCAACAGCCCCATCCTAGATACCATGACAATATGGTGTCCGTAAGCATTTTCTCATGATGATTATAACAATAATTTGGTTTATTATAAACCTGTGTTGCTATATGTATGACTATGATTTGTCATTCTTTTCCAACTGCGTTAATATTGCAGAAATGAGCTCACATTTCATTACTCTAATTTCTAATCATTAATATGAGAAGAATATTTGTATTAAATTTGCCATTCATTAGCAAATTCAGAAGCCAAGATGCCACTGTGTGCAAATTAAATTTGGTTACTGGAAAATGTATTTATGTTGCTTCTGGCGTAATGATATTTAACAATTTAGAAAGCTTAATTGGGTGGTTTGTGTAATACAAATTTGTACAGGATATCATATTTTCGAAGCTTTACCCTGACAGTAACACATTACCTGGAGAAAGTTTACAGTCTTATTGGGTTTAGATTGAAGTTAAATTATATTTATTCAGCAGTTAACATTTTACAAAAATATTGACATTTACATATAATGTGTTCTGAACTGTGGACATGTTTATGGCCTTGATCGTAACTAAAACATACCTAATATTTATCAAATTTTCAGAGACAAGATGACTTGTACATGTGGACCAAGCCTAATTTTCAGGCTGGCTAAAGTTAGTACAGTATACCCTGACATATTGTAATACTGTATGCAATGCTTTTCTTCATAGAGAAGTAATTCATTAAGTCTTCGCTAATATAGCGTATATGTTTGGCAATGGAAATCACATCTCCTCCAAGCAGTTGCAGAGATTGAATTCATTGTAGATTATAAGATAAATTCTCTGATGACTGTATGTTTGCAATTCCCTTGACTTAAATTACAAAGAGAGAAGAACGTTTCAAAACCTACTTGTTATTTTAGCCGAATATTGTACTTTTCAATAGTGTATAATGTGCAGTACAGAGAGGTGGCTTATTCTCATGTGGTTAATAGTTTGGAAATTAATAAGTTTTTCATGATCATCACAGGAAGGGTCAGGAGATGTCAATGTGTTTAGATGAAGAAATGGAACTAATGCTGTCGGACTGACTGACCAGAATAAATAAATAAATAAAATATAAAATAAATAAAACTAAGCTAACACGATAGCTAGAGTCGCATCATACATAAGTCACAGAACCGTAACTCTAAGCGTGCCCAGCTGGATTAAAAGTAAATGTGAGATCCCAGAAGTAGACATTCCTGCTGACCACATGAAACATTTGTGATGTTCTGGCCCTGTAGCTCTGACTTTGGTAACAATGAAACTTGTAGACATTCTTGTAAAATTGACTTTAACAACCATCTGATTTTACTCAAAATATAATTTGCAACTTGCACATAATGGTAAATAGCCAAACTAAAATTATGATACTCCCAACCTTTTAAATACTTAATCCAAACTTTAGTTTATGATGGAGATCCAGAGATGATAATTATAAAGAATTAAAGTAAAGCTTTGTAAGTTACAATAAACCAAGTGTAAGAACAACTTAAGCATCAGAGGCAACCACCAAAACATTTTTCTTAAATGTTCGATAAACTTAATTCAAAATACCATAAAAATTAAGCATTAATCCCGGTACAGTATATTGTATTACTTTATATCTATCATCTACTGTACCAAGTTATATGTTAAAAATTCAGCAACCCGCGACTTTAGCAGCTTCATTTTCGAAGACGAGCGAGACGTTTCTGCACACATTGCTGTGTTGAAGATTAATACAAAATTTTAAATACATTTACTTGGTGTAATATGAATGATGAATATCATCACCCAAAAAATGCTTAAATGAAGAAGTATTGATGCATATTGTTCACACTGTACTATATAAAACCAGAGTTGGCACAAGTAACACCATCATTGCTTTAAATATAATGCTAAGGATATTTTTTTTTCATGTAAGAATATAGGGTATATCACTTGACCAATGTACTTATATCAACAAGCGGATTATCCATGTAATTCGGACATTTTTTTTATTAGGATCAGTTATATGCTGTGGAGACCAACCCAAGATCAATTTAAAGTGAGCCAAAGTGATTTTTCATCAAATGGTCGAGTCTATAATAATAATATGGAAAGAAATTTGATAAACATTATTTTACAAGAGACTTTTGGTTATGTAGAGGATTTCTATCACTGATATTTACTTAAAAAAAAGGCATGTGTTCTATGTCCATACTTAAACATACAGTATTACCGAAAACAATGCAGGATTCCCATAGGAACTCAGTTTAGATCAACCCCTGCTCTTGCTGTTGTGAAAAATATTTGTTTTCAGTGTAAATTTCCTGATTAATAATCTTAAACTCTGGATAGAATATCTCGAGACAAAATGTCACGTATAAAAAAATAAAAAATTTGCATCACGTTGCCACTGTCCTTTGTCTCATGAGAAGAAGGAAGTCCTCACAGACACTTCATGTCGTTGAAGGACACATTGCTCATGACAGTTTATGTTGCTTCTGGTATATAATGTTATTCTTCATCAAGCATGTGCTTTTGTGATAATATTAGCGCATCAACCACAACACTTTAACTCCAGAGCAAATACTATTTTTGTAATGAGACAGAGGAAGACCTTTCCTGGAGAGATGAGAATATTCATTCCTGACGTGACACAGCACTGCTGAAAAGCATAACATAACCCAAAGAATATTTTTATTAACTTAAAAAATGATAAAAAAAGTGTTTTCTTCTGTTTGTACTGATAATTTTCTCCATCAACATTACTCGATAGGTGCGATCAAACTCCTTTAGGAAGGAATGCTCCTATCGGAAGAGGATGTCCCTCCAAGAACAGTACGCTTTTCCAGGCATACAGTATATGTCCACTTTGGAGTATGTACACTGTAGTATCAGCCGTTCTTTCTAATAAATAAATTATTAAATTAAATAAATTTACAGAAGTGACAAGGATGATGACCTCGCCGCAATTCAGTGAGGTAATACAGTATTATTTTGGAACAACATACTTTCAGGTATGACCTGTGAAGGTCGTTGTTACGTCATTTTAGATAATGTGATTTTGCCAAGAGTCTCTATTCCTGGATTTTCTGTTCTTGACTCTTTCCAACATTGTAAATGAAAATCATTATCTGAATTTTGTTTTAGTATGAACTTATTTGCTGTTCATTTATCAAATCATGAAAATTCTTTGAACACCAATGGAGTCAAAGTCATGTGTTCATCAACATATACATATGTAGAAAATCAGCAGTAACAGGTACAAACTCTGATTTGCAAATGCATATGGCTGTGGCTTTCCAGAACACTTCTATTATCATTAATTTCAAAGATTTTAAAAACAAATGGAAGTAATTTTATTACACCTTTTGTGTGTTTGTAATTTCATTTAAATAAAAGGTTTACCCCTAACCATAGAGTCCAAAATACTGTTCTTACCGTCAAGTAAGAGCAGCATAAAGATGGTTTGTGATATTTTCCTGACAGTGCTTCAAGTATGCTTTGTTATAAAACATTACTGTACAGTACTTTTAATCTACATTACATAAAAATAAATGAATAAGCAGCATAGAAGTGATAAAGTTTATGACGTTGATTCACGACCAGATTATGCGCGCAAGAAGCTTTTAGTATGAACGTAAACATACTTGTCAAACCAACCATTGCTACCTGAGATCTATATACAGTATATCCTCCAGGGCACCAACTGAAGAGTATCCATAAAAGTGATGAATTTTGCTACAGTGTTGATATACCTGGACCATTTGTTTTTCGTATTCTGAAAAACAGTATCTTAAGAGATAACAAAAATAAGACTATTTGGATATCATAATTCTTCACATAATACGGCTAAAGGAATCGGTTCTGAAGGTGTATTATACACTAGCTATCATATCATTGAGCACCATTCATAGCAATGATGTGTTTCCTAAATTGATATTCTAATCCACCATGAAAAATTAATACTTGAATAAATTCCCTAAAAGAGCATGTTTAGGAGTAGCATAAAACTTGTACAGAAAAAGAGGTGTTCTCACTAAAGGACATACACTTTAGCCAGCACCTGATAAGCAAGGTTAGTGCCGGTACTATGACAATAAAACCCACGCATAGAAGCAAAACAATAGACATAGTGAAAGGAGACACAGCCATCTATCTTGGTCTTTCTTATCAACATGAAAAGAACCGAAGCAGATAGAAGTGTCGCCGAAATTTCCTGCATCGTCAACTTTGTTTCTAATGGAAGATTGTATTATCACAGACCTTCTTCGGCAAACTAAATAGGGCACCTGCAGGTGTCAGACCGCCTCGTGTTTCATCAAATTCTTGGAAGCTGTCGCTAAGACCTCCACCTCACTAAAGTCGTGAGAGAGCGACTTATCGTCAATTTCAGGGTCAGGGCCCGGTGGTACTAGGGCATGGCCATTGGATTGGTCCCGACTCGTGTCCTCCTCTGGGTTGCCTCTGTAGAGCATATGACAGGGTTATTAATTTAATAATTAAGTGATATGACAAATACACCAACGCAAATAACATTGTTTGGACAGTCTATCCCAGTGGTTCTCATATCAAGTAGAAATTAATAGCAGGGTACAACTAGCAAAGTATACAGTGGGTGAAGGCTCCCATTGTGTACTGATGACCTAAAGAGTTTAAACATAAAACAAGCAAAAAGCATCAATTTGCCGAGTCATCGCGACCCACTGAAAATCGGTTTGCGACCCATGGTTTAAGAACTATGGGTTTCTGTATTGTATATTAATGAATACTCTATTCAGTAATATACAATAATAATTTTTAGTTGAATGATGGCAAAAACAGAATTGCATGGTCAATTTTTATTGGTGCATCACGTGAGTGGATGTAATACTCGCCCCCTCATCCAACAATCGACAGTTCGAGTTCCACAGCCAGCAACTGAGTGGGGCATTCATGGGCAAAGACTATATTCAAGTCTTAGAGGAAGTATTTTTACCGTCGGTGCAAGTCATAGCCATTCCTCATCCACACACATCATTACCTTTGTGCAATGTGGTGAAAGACTGGGCCATCATGTGCCGCCCGCGAGTGGGATGTGGGCGATGAAGTTAGTTCTCAAACCAGTGAATGAAAGACACAGGAGGTGTGGGAATCAAGTGGTTGAAGCTCAAGGAGGCTGGACCTCGTATTGAAAGTAAAATCCTATATCTGTTCTGTACCATAATATTTCTTTTTTCTTTGTGATAATATAACCTTAGCAGTAATACAGACGTCAGTGTTTCTGTATATAAATTACAGTACAGTTCATAAATTTATAAAGAAAAATAAATATGTGTATTGTTTTGTTTTACAAACATAAGTAAACATATACAGTAGAAGAATTTTCATTTTATATCTAGAGGGAAAATACATCCTTATGTAATCCCAGATCAAGGTTAAATTTGCATTGCTTATGTGTCAATATGAATACATTGTTTTAATAAAATAATGTCCCAGTATGTGCAAACACTATACTGTAATTACTGTACTGTTGAAGATATTAACACTAGTATTCAATGGCAAATTATTCATCCTTTCTAGTTGTCAACCCTAACAACTTTATCTGTCCAGAATCACTGTTGAGTATAAGAGGTCTAACCAGAGGCCTGGTCCATTAGTGACAAGTGTAAAATATGCTACTAATAGTGACCCCACTCTAAGATCTAACACATCATGGTATCATGCTTAGGTCGAACAAGGGAGACTGAGTAGTAGTTGGATTGGCATGCCGAGGGAATGATGGCACAGATAGTTAGTAAAGCTAGGTATACTTCCATGCACTGTTGTTGGATGCACAGAAATGTGAAAGTGGCACTGATGGCACCTTTGGGTACATTAACAGGTGAGGAAGACTCCCCTGTGATTATTGGTTGCAGCTATGAGTGGATGGTGGGGGAATGTGGCAGAGTTGAGGTTGCTGTGGGTGAGCAGTAACAGTAATATGGTTGGCATGGGTGTGCTCTGTGGCACTAATGGGTGAGTGGGCATGATGGGTTGAAATGTGAGCGGCTTGAGGTAATTATAAACGTGTGCACTAGCAGCGGCATGAGTGAGTGATATTAACAGGTTATTAGCGTGGGTATGTGAGATATTGGTAAGGCACTGGGAATAGTGGTTGACAGAAGTAGATGTGGTCAGGGGGAACTGTTGCATTAATAGCAACATTATGGAGCCAGGGTCACTGCGATGAAATTACGCAATCACCAGTCAAGGGTGAATGGGTACGATCATCAGGACTGAGTGGACAGGACCATCAGGGGTGGGTGGTCTGAACCATCAGGAGTGGGTGGGTAGGACCATCATGGGTGGGTGGACTGAACCATCAGGGGTGGGTGGGTAGGACCATTGGGGGTGGATGGACAGGACCATCAGTGGTGGATGTGCAGGACCATCAGGGGTGGGCGGGCTGGACCATCATGGGTGGGTGGGCTGAACCATCAGGGGTGGGTGAGTAGAACCATTAGGGGTGGGTGGGCTGAACCATCAAGGGTGGGTAGGTAGGACCATCGGGGGTGGGTGGACTGGGACCATCAGGGGTGGGTGGAATGGACCATCAGGGGTGGGTGGGCTGGGCCATCAGGGGTGGGTGGGCTGGACCATCAGGGGTGGGTGTAGCAGCTGAGGCATGTAAACCTGGTGGTGTGTGTGACAGCATCTAAGCAGGGGCTGGCAGGCTGGGTGGACCCTTCCCGCATAGAGGGCGTGGGCGTGTGAGTGGCCGACCTGTGGGTACGGCGAGCCAAGTTCTGCGTCTCTACGTAGATTGCTCGTTTCACTTCCCTCTCCACCTGTTCCCAGTCTGCATCACCGTCGATCTGCAAGAAAAGTAAAAATCAGCTAAATCAAGAAAACCTTACATTTCTTTGAGGACGAGCAAGGTTAATCACAAACCTTAACAGTCAAACCTACAGTTTCTGAGATACAGACTGACACTGTCACCATGGTTTCACTCTTGGTGTCACTTACAATCTTAAGTCTGTTCTTTTCGTCGAAGGCCTTGAGCATGGGTAGGGTCACCTCGCGGTAGATGGCAAGTCGCCGTCTGGCCGCCGCGACGTTGTCGTCTAATCGGTTTTCTCTCCTGCCTAAGTTCCTTCCCAGCTCAAGCTCTGAGCAGTCAATCAGGAGTAATGGTGGGATCTGATGAAACTGCAAGTAAGGAAACGATATTTGAAAAACACTTTCCTTTGTAAGATAAGTAGCAGTAAATTGAAAGAGAAATAAATGGATCCCTTCCATTTCTTGCTATGTTTATCATGAGAAATGGTCACAACTATAAATTTATGGTGAACAGAAAGTCTACATTGGTAGACAGTTTCATACATTTTATTGAGTCACCTTGACTCTACCAAAATGTCAGTTTTTCTGCTAATTTTTTGAGATGTTTGTGTATTTGTGACCCTGAATTTATTGAAGAAGAATTGCAACACACATAATTCATTGCACAAAATCTTGGGTACCCTCCATTGTTTGTTGATCGTTGTCTTAAAAAGGCTAAAAAAAATGTTATTGTACTCAAACTAGACAAGTTTCTACATTTAAGAATATTTTTACTCTACTTTATCGCAATGAATTTGTCCCGTTAGTTCAGTTCCTTAAATTATTAAGTTTGACTCAACTATTACTAATATATTAATTAAGAACAGCCCAACCTTGAATGTAAATGGAAGTGTTTACTGCTTTCCATGTAGAATGGAAATTATGTCGGTCAGACTGGGAAAGCATTGCAACTTAGAATAAAACAGCACAAGTGTAATATGAGAACAGCATCTGAAAACAGTGCACTTTTTGTTCATATAAAGAACAATAATCATCCCATGGATTGGAAAAACAGCAAAGAAGTTTTTAAATCAATATGAGTCACAGAAAGACTTCTGGTTGAAGCAAGTTTGATTAGGGAAATGAATTCTATAATCCTTAGTGATGGTTAGTAAATTTATTTGTCAGTGGCCCAAGGTTAAAAATGCTTTGAAAGCATTTGAGGTAGATGTAGGGTAGATGATTAGAGGGTCTCACATTTTTTACCTGACTTGACATAACTTGTTACGTTGCCCATATTTACAAGCTCTTTTTTCTTGTGGGGTGGAGGTGGTGTGTGAATTAGTGAATCCCATGTTACTGACCTGACCTGATGTTTTGCAAGGTCACCCTTTGTATATAAGCCTCTCTCAGTCCCTGTAAATTCAGTTGCCTCTGAAGATGTCTTGAATAAAGATGAAAGCTACGGTGCTCCATTGTATCCCTTTTCCTGTGTGGTTATATATATATATATATATATATATATATATATATATATATATATATATATATATATATATATATATATATATTTATTTATATCATGTGCATTGGTAATTGTCTTTCTGCTCCTTTAGCCTGTATTTATATGGAGTTTTTGAAGCTAGATTACTACCCAACATAGGTGATTTGGTATTATTGCATTTTCAAACCTCACATTCTTACCACAAATCTATTATCATATTCGAATAAGACGTTTAATTATAGGATAATTTTCATCTATTACATTACCGTCGCAAATGTTTAATAACGGAGATAGCGTATCCAAAATGTTCTTTATTTTCTTCCATTAATCTTCCGCCATTATCGCCTGCCTCACCTCCCACACTGCGTGTCTCCTTCATAAATCATCACGTGCATGCGCTCCCATACACGTCACGCGGCCAATCATAAGCTTTTATTTATTTATTTTTTTTTGCAACCAATTAAAATGATTTGGGGTTCAATTTGCGGTATTTCTGGCCTAATCAAATTCGATTTTTTTGGGGGGGTCTCATATTTCCAACCATGGAAGTCTGTGATGGGTGTCACTTAAATTATATGGAGCTGATTGCGAATTTTTGGGAAAAAACGAAGAAACTCTAGTATTTTTTCGATCGCATGGTGTTCTCCCGACCTCAGTAAAGTGTCTTCATCACTTCTTGGAAGAAGCTTCCCGCCTATACCCCCGTTAAGCGAGAATCAGCGTCAGCAACCTGTAAGAATCTCAGAATCCAACGACGAACAAGAACCAGGCCAATGAGGTAAGAAAATAGGTGATTCCATCATATGGTGAGAGTCAGTTAGGTTTGGTTTATGTTTTTCTAGTGTTTTGGGTGTATTTTGTATTCGCTTAGCCATTATTTTGGGGGGGAAAACGTCCCACGAAAAGAAATCGACAAAAAAATGGCCAATTTCCGACGTAAATGAAGGTCATATTCGGTCTAAACACACACAAATACACTAGAAAAATATATTTTTGACTCTCTAACAGAGTGAGGTGCGCTTAAGCAAATTTACCGGTGATTTTATTCTTCCATGGTATAGATAGATGATGTTCTTTGTCTTTGGCCTAGAAACAGGAACCCACTGGAATTTTTGGACAAGCTTAATGATCTTGTCCCTAGTATTATCTTCACTTAACCCTTAGGCCCCTTACCTTCTCTTCAAAGTTCTGAGCTTGAATAATATCCCTCGGGAAGCCAACCAATACAACTCCCTCTCGAGTCTTCAGTTCCTCCAGCTTCTTCCTCACTAGTTCCAGCACCAGGTCCTGTGGCAGAGAAGCATCATTACTACTGAGTATCCATAACCCCAGCCAGATATAGGTAAGAAAAATAACATTACACATATGTGCGAGTGTGTGCGCATATATATATATATATATATATATATATATATATATATATATATATATATATATATGCAAGTAAATTACCACCTCACTTGCAAGATTACCTTCTTTTACTAACAGACAATACTACTGTACATCTCCTTCTTCACCTACAACAAATTCTACTCTTCTCGTTTTTCCCTTCCACCCAACTCCCAAACTAGATCAGTTTCTAGAGCTGATATCGTTTCTTCTATCAGGGCGGATCTGTGCAGCATCTCCAAATTGGGATGTAGAAATTTGGCAGACTTCAATACTGTAGTAAGAAAACATAGTATTTACCAATTACATTTTACACAATAGAAGACCCACCACCAATCACATTTCAGGGAGCAATCATTTTGCCAAATTCTAAAATAAATATGCTAGGCCTCACCATGGCCTCAATGGTGGTGTAGAGGATAACAGATGGTTGTAGTATTTCCTTCTATGGTGGTGTTGTAAAGGATAACAGGTGGTTGTGGTACAACACTTCCCTCTCCATAATAGTGGGTAACACATGATATGGTGAGGGTTCTTAGTACTGGGGTGTTAATGGGTTCAGGACACTGCCATACCCATCTGCTCACACATGTTGTACAGATACAATAGCTACTTCATCTCCTGAGCAGTTGCTACAGGATTATAAAAGATTCAGTCGTCCTAACTTGAAGTACTGGTCTCAATCTGGGGTGGAATCAAAGGCATTTCATCTTATTAACTCGCTTTCTTTAGTTAATAATCTCTCTTCCCTTTCTCTTCGCCGCAATGTTGGTTCACTCTCTCTCTTTTACAAGTACTTTAACGGGCAATGTAGTGTGTACCGCCTGCAAGGGAGCTCGTAACACTCGTCTTGCCCGCGGTGCCCACCGTTTCTCTGTGGATGTCGAGCACACTAGAATAACCCGTTATAATACATCCTTCTTTCCTCACACAGTCAAGCTGTGGAATGCTTTGCCTTCTTCTGTATTTCCATTCTCTTAAAATCTGTCTCGCTTTAAAATGCTGGTTTTACGGCATCTTCGTGGGTTGTGATGTTGATTAACATACTCGTTGTTCCCTCAAATTCGGTGGCCTGTGCCCAGGTGGGCTTATCCCCCATAAAAACAATATCTCACTTGCAGGATTACCTTCTCTCCCTCACCTATACAGCATTATCGCTCCTTCCTCACCTACAACATTACCTCTCTTTCCTCATCTATAACACTACCTCACTTACATTATTATTACTAACATTATTACTTCTGCTTCCTCACCTACAATACCATCTTACCTACAACACTACTGTACCTACAACACCACCTCACCTACAACACCACCTCACCTACAACACCACCTCACCTACAACACTCACCTGAGGTATCAACTCGCCCTTGCGCATGAGATTCTGTATCATGGCGACTTTCTCGCTGGGCAGGGCAGTGTAGGTCTCAGGGTCTTCCTTCCACCGGGCGAGGTTATCCCGAAGCATCTGACCCACACCCAGGCACGCCCAACCCGGATACAAGTAGGTGATACCACTCATTAGTCGCCATTTGTCGCTGCCAGGACCCCCTGTAATGAGAACTCACTTTATATACAGTACACCTTTGACTACACATTAACCACATATGATGTTATGGTAAATGAAATGTCATAATCATTAGTTTGTATAATAATAATAATAATAATACAAATAATAATAATATGAATATGAATAATATTAGTAATACTTATAATAATAATATTATGTATTTCATTAAATCATGTTCTTCATATTACTGCTACAGACTTGGCGAACTTATTGAATGATAGGGAAGTCACTGGACACTAACGCTTACAGTATTTAGATAAGTAAACATACAGACATATTTATATCTAAGTTAAATTTCACATCGGAATAATTATTTATACAATAAACCAATTATCAATAAACCAAACTCTTACAGAAGATGCTAAGATCAACATTAATAATCCAAAATATGATCTCAATTAGCTTGTTTGTACCACTGCTCACATCTTTTGTCACTCCCATTGCCCATCCCTGCTCTCCTTACCAGGTGCCTTGGTGAAAGAATAATGGCTGAATATAATGTACAATGAATCAGACAGATATAAGGTTGGTTAGGTTATTACTTTTTACGAGAAGATTCTTACATAAGATGGCTGTCTTATTGTGATTAGTATCCATGTTAATCTTCGTTAAGTAAGAAATACATACGATCCACAATCACTCACAAAGAAGAATTGAGAGGTGTTCATCGTAAGAAATTGAGATACTTTTGAAGAACAGTCATGGTACTTACTCATAAAGAAGAGTTGGGACACTTGTTTAAGGAGACTTAACTATACAATAAAACACGGTAAACCTCATCCTAACGATCTCTGTTACGAGTACCGGTATTTCCTTAAGGAATTGTTTGGTGTGTTAGTAGTTAGTGAGTCACGTCTGTTGTGTGGAGTTTGGAGGCGGGTCTACAGTATAATGCTCGGCTGTTTACGAAATAATATGTAATGTTCCGAATAGTTTTCTTTAGCGATATAATATACATAAATGAGTTTATTTAATGTTGAAGCTGAATTATTTGTAATTTATAAATAAAATATGATAAGAAATGTTTGTCAAAGCTACGCCCCTTTTGCCCAAGGCCAAATCATTTTAAAGTCCAATGATATAGCCTTAAGGCGGCGGCACACTGGGCAAACACGGTTCGGCCAGAAAAACAAAGAGACGTTTGCTTTACTCTGGGATGTTTTGTTGGCGCATCTGCCCAACGCAACGAAAACAACAACAACAAAGTGTCTAGACGAGATTCGTCATGGATCCCGTTACTACAGTTGAGGCCTTGCAAGATTGTGCTAGTTCTTCAATCGCTGAAGCAAGTGTGGCGTCTGCAAAAGCTAATGAAAAGACAATGGGTGCCGTCGCGTTGTGAAGTTTCTTTAAATGTGGCGGCGGCTGGTTGGTCAAAGAAGACCCTGAATAATGATTTGATAATACTAAATTAGTTTTAAAGTGACGAATAAAAAGAATTATGTCACCGTTTATCTGTTATATTTAAAATTATTATTGTTTCATGATTTACTTCAATTTTCACTAGAAATTATATGAAATTCATTTGAGCACTAATCCAGCCAGCAAAGATCACCGCCAAACCATTGTCCATTTCTAGCAACAACCGAAATCATGCTGTTTGTTGGGCATTTTAGCCAACTGCCAGCAGAAAGGGCAACATGTTTGTAGGAAAGTGCCCAGTGTGCTGCCACCTTTAGCCGACCACATTTGATGATTTGGTGTGTGCCGCCAGTTGAGTCAGTTTCGGCCTGGCTACTGCATAGATGAGTACTCTCTCTCTCTCTCTCTCTCTCTCTCTCTCTCTCTCTCTCTCTCTCTCTCTCTCTCTCTCTCTCTCTCTCTCTAAGCTCCCTAACAAATGGTGGAACAAGCAATATCTACAAGCTACCTAACAGTCACTTTAGGAGTGCATTTTTGTTACTTGTTTAGGAACTATGTTTATTTCTCGTGATTATCATTACTTTTGATTTTATATAATTCATTTTACTTTATTTTTTTATATAAACTGGAAGTTAACTTGACCTGGTGGACAGTGAAAGGATATTAAAAGTGAACTGAGAGTAATCAATAGTTATGACTACAGCCCCCGGGTCGTAACAAACACCCAAAAGGGAACACGTCACATCACAAACCACTATACATACCCGAGGTAACGTCCCTCGGGTAAATCCTTAAACAAGCCATTGTTTTCTTTTAATTTTGTAATTTTTCTCATCTCCGACCTGTTTCTGCAGTTTGAGTGTGCAGTTAAGTACCTGGCGTCTCTTCTTAGAGTTTTAGATATGTTAAAAACTTTGCTGAAATTATTATACTGGACAAGACCTATCCATTTCACAATTTATCTTGACGTATTCATTAGACAATCGTCTTACACACACTAGAATCATAACTCCAATATAAGTCTCAGAGAACACATAACTTTGTTAAATAAATAATACCTTTAGCACAGCCCAAATAAGGTTACTGTATGGAAATGCTCGAATGACCCGCGTATGGCACAGAGATTTACTACTGAAGAAGAGACAGGGAGACTTCCCCATGAAGAAGAGGCAGGGAGACTTCTCTATGAAGAAGAGGCAGGGAGATTTGCCCATGAAGAAGAGGCAGGGAGATTTATCCATGAAGAAGAGGCAGGGAGACTACCCCACGAAGAAGAGGCAGGGAGATTTGCCCATGAAGAAGAGGCAGGGAGACTTCTCTATGAAGAAGAGGCAGGGAGATTTATCCATGAAGAAGAGGCAGGGAGACTACCCCATGAAGAAGAGGCAGGGGGCTTATCCATGAAGAAGAAGCAGGAAGACTTCCCCATGAAGAAGAGACAGGGGGACTTATCCATGAAGACAAGGCAGGGAGATTTACCCATGGAGAGGAGGAAGGGAGACTACCCCATGAAGAAGACGCAGGAAAACTTACCCATGAAGAAGCAGGAAGACTTCCCCATGAAGAAGAGGCAGTGGGATTTACCCATGAAGAAGAGGCAGGGAGGCTTCCCCATGAAGAAGAAGCAGGGAGACTTACCCATGAAGAAGAGGCAGGGAGGGTAGGTCGCATCTTCTGAGTTTACATTAATGGCTGAGGTGGAGAGCGGCTGATTCTGTTTAGATGTTGCCATACTACGATACTCTCGGTACGATCCTGGAGGTAAACATGTCATGGTGGTGGTATAATGGTGGTGGCGATTATGGAAAGGTTCATGGAGCAGCTGATAGATCATGGTTGCAGTGAAAAGGTTCTTGATGATGATTGAAATATGGTGGTGGTGGTCGAATGGTCATGGTTGTGGTTAGAATGGCAAGGTGGTGGTGGTGGTAAATTCAAGGTGGAACTAGAAATTCTGGTTAGATGAAGGTGCAGTTTGTCGTTACGGTCACTATTGTCAAGTAAACTGTATATCATAATTTATTTTCAATTAGGCGATTATATATCAATCACATGGGGCAGGATGTAAGTTACTGTGGTATCTTTATCTCTTCATCCCTTCCTGATACTGAGATGAGAGAGCACTAACCTATAGAGGCACGTGACGGGGGTGGTAGTGGAGGGGGCCTCATGATCTTGGCGTGAGCTCTCTGGACATCCCGGAAGACCTCCTCTTGACTCCTCTCGCCAGACACCTGCAACACCACACCTGCTTAACTACTACCACGTCTCGTTACCCCAATCTGAAGCTACACCCATTTCCACGACTCCGTGCTGAATTTAAGCCTCGTTTTATTACTCATTGCTGAAGCTAAGCCTGCTCATCAGCAGATTAATAATGTGAGAAAAGTGAGATTTGGGCGTCGTTGATACCATGTGATTACAGATAGATATCTGATGCTTAAACATCTTGATGCTAACCTAACCAAATCTTATCTGCCCCCCCAAAAAAAACTTAGCCTAATCTAAAATAATCTAACCTACCCAAACATAACTTAACCCCCATCCAGGTAGCGTTAGTGATTAATCATCAAGTGAAATAAGCGGGGGTTCATAATATTCATGATATCAGTAAAAACTAATATGTGATGAACTGAAATACACCTGAAATATAATATTTATTTATCCGGTTATAAAATCATGCAAACCAAGTTGAAATATCGACAAAGTCTCCAACATTACGTTATTTTTCAGGCTAAGTAGATGTTGTTCTCTTGTAGTTGTGGCGAACATAAGAAAGCAAATACTACCATTATGTGTGTGATATAGAGAAGCGAGTGGGCGATAATATAAAATAGGAATTTTAAATACTTTTGGTATATACGAAAATGAGCCTGAAACAGATGACTAAAAGTGTGTCTGTGTTTTTGAAGGAATAAGAAAATTTAGATCAACAGTAAATCGGAAGGAGAGAATACGAACATAATGACTGTAAGGAAAGGGAAGATAAGTTTGTCTGGAGTTATGTATGGATAAAGTGAAACAAATAAATTATTGGGTCTTATAAGAAGGTCGTTCAGATATCTAGACGGTCCGTCCCTCGTAACGATCTTCAAGAGTGAAGTGCTTCCCCATCTGGAGTACTGTCACCCCGTCTGGTCTCCGAGATATGCTAGGGACTGTCAGTTGGTTGAAAATGTTCAAAGGAGGGATTGGAGCTACCGTGAGAGATTGGAGCGCCTGAACTTGCCTAGCTTATACTACAGACGGGCAAGAGGTGACCTAATTGAGGTGTATAAGCACTACTCAGTCGAGTGTCCTTACTTGGAGCTGGCGGAAACTCGCCCCACAAGGGGTCACAGCTCAAGATTGAAGAAGCGGCAAGTCCAGAAAACTGTGAGGGCAAACTTTTTCGGAGTGAGAGTTGTGAACTCTTGGAACAATCTACCAGAAAGTGTTGTGAGCTCTTTCAAGACAAGACTTGACTAACACTGGAGCAGGTTCAGGCACATTCAGGAGCCGGTGCATGCCCAGTACTTGCCAACAGTGCGTAACTGAGACGTGACCGATCGCCGAAGTGGCTAACGAGTCGATCATTTGGTGAAGAGGTTAAAAGAAAAGGAAAAGTAACAGAGACGTGAACGATCGCCCAAGCGGCTAACGAGCCGATCAGTGATAAAGAGGATAAAGGTAAAAGAAGTGACTATGCCTTGATCCACCCTGCTGGACAGTGGGAGGCAGCTCGTGGCTTAATTATACTGTAATGGCAGATAAGTTTCAGCAGTGGATATTACACTGTCATTTCACTGCAATTATTAACGTCACTGGTATACTGGATCTCCATCGTGACTGTGACAATGTACAGGTCAGGTTATATATTAAAAATAAGAGTAAAGCATTTGAAGTATATATAATGGGTGAGCAATGACCTCAAAACAACGCACCAGAAGCCAATATTTGAAATTAAGCATCATGCCTGTGTTTAAACTTATAAAGTGTAAGATTATGATTAATAATTTACACATATGAAGGAAAGTTTACAGAAATGAATTGTGTAAGTCACATTTTACTTCAACAGTTTTTTATCACATGCTCTCCAGCTCATTCATCTGAAAAAGCAGTCCAACAAATAATATTTACTCAAAAGTTCCAAGTAGCACCTAAGACAAATAATGCCTTTAACCAACAACAAGTGTGATCACTCACCACATAGAGGAGTCCCTGGTTGTCGAAGTATTCACACACTGGGAGGACCTTACTGTGGAATTCTGAGAGTTCTTTCCTGGCAGCATCAAGCATGAGGGTGCCCATTCTCGCCCCAGCCTCCAGGTTGTTCAACAGCGTCGACTCTCGCCAGTCCAGGAGAATGGCCCCGTCGATGTTGCCTAGCTGCAACATGTAATACACCGTAAGTCATTGTTGCTTAAACTTTAGTTAGTCATATAAGTTTTGTTAATATTAAGGGTTTTTTAAATTTATAATTTTTCTGGCTTTCGTAAGTGCCTGTGCTTTGTAGTGCTGCTGTCATGCAGAAAGTGACTCCTGGTTGGAGTGGGTCTTCGCAAAAGGGTATGAAGATGATTTTGTTGACTGCCAAAAATCTTGAGAATTTGACAAATATTGTTAATAAGAGCATTCGTGGCCCGGCATCGGTTTACAAGTCGATTATGTACGACGTTAGACACTCAGATAAAAATGCTAAGATTATAAGCAAATGGGTTTCTTCTATGACTGAATACAATTATAAGATCAACAGTCATGTTTTTATTTTCAATTTCGAGAATACTTATATACGTATTGCTTCTCTAAACTCAAATTTGAGGTTGAATTCAGTATTGTGTTCAGTATCTTGCACACTTATAACTGAATGTGTTTTTGCCAGAAATGTTCATCTGCTAGATAATCCCCATCCCCTAAAAACCTGGAGAATGGTGGATTAACTATGCTTCTATTTTTTTTAGAGGTCATTGGACTAGTTTCTTAACAATGAACAGTAAGATTATGTCAGCTATTTATAACAGATATAAGCTTTGTGAATTTCTACATACCACATTAACCGTTTTAACGACCTTAAGAATATTTTTTCTAGTGAAGTAATTATATTAATTTTCTTTAAAACTCACAGCTACCAGTCGCTTCCCTCTCAGGCGCCCTCTCATTCATACCCTGTAACTTTCTTTACCGATATTACGAAATGCACTTGAAATTTTTAATACAGTATGTTGTTTTTTGCAAATAAAAAATTATATAGAATACATGAACAACAACATATAAAATTTCAATTAAACAATAGAATAATATAATTCAACTTCATTTTAACTGATATAACTACTTTATTAACGAAACTCTGCTTCATTATTTAACGTGACAAATAGACCCTAAGTCACTTTAATTTTACACAATAGAAGCTCTTAAGTATTAGGCCTATGTGTTATCCATGAAAGCCTGTAACAGACACATATAAAGGACAATTACTGCATCAAAAAGGTCGACGAGACATTTAACAGGAAAAAATTCTGCTTAGGATGCTTAGGAGAGAGAGGACAATTAGTATGATCTTTTCACACACACACACACAGACACACACACACACAGACACAGACACACACACACACACACACACACACATATATCACTACTATGTCATGCCCTTTCCTGCTTATTGTTCTTTCTTTCTTCCTCTTACCACCTATTCCTAAATTATACACTACAGTATTTGTACCAACCATCTGAACACACCTGGATCTGCTTTCTCTCTTCCACTTCTATCAATAACACATCTTATTTCTTTATCATTTATTCTCCTTATCTTATTTACCTATCTTATTACTCTCAAGTTCGTCATATCTGTGGATTGCCACTTGGCCCTGTCGCGTGTATATAGAATTCATATTTGATAACCATATATCTTAATCTCAATTCAACAGTTTCCCAGTAAATTAAGATATTTACCTTCTTTAACAGCACTTTTTCGTTCCTTACATTCTCAATATATCCAAGTACATTCTTTGAGGCACAGTTTCATAGAGAAATTTGAGTATTTGGAGACAAAACACCAGTCCAAAGTACCACAGTGCGATATACAGCTGATGAGAGGCAAGCATAAGTTGTACTAAAGAGCAGGAATAAAGGTTAATGGTTTTACACTGATGATGTATATCTTGGAGGACAATGATGTGTACATATAGTTAAGGCAGTGTACTGGCATTGCTGGAGTCCTAACCAACCGGAATACACTTTTGGAATTCCCGAGAACTTTAACTGTATTTCCATAGGAGCCTGAAATTTAAAAAAAGAAGGGTAAAGAGAGTGATGTCGTGTACACACAACATAAGACATGTAAGAGAGCAGTATGTTAGTAGGTGGCCCAGAGGGTAGCCAGGAACACTGATGAAAAGAGACACTCGGTGGGATGACTACTGGTCTTCTGGAAGCTGGGGTGTTGGGGAGGATATAGGGCTACAGTACCTCCACAGCTGGGGTGATGGGGAGGAAATAGAACTACAGTACCTCCGCAGCTGGGGTGTTGGGGAGGAAATAGAGCTACAGTACCTCCACAGCTGGGGTGATGGGGAGGGCATAGAACTACAGTACCTCCGCAGCTGGGGTGTTGGGGAGGAAATAGAACTACAGTACCTCCGCAGCTGGGGTGATGGGGAGGGCATAGAACTACAGTACCTCCTCACCAATAGTTTGGGAAGGACCACGCACCAAAATGAAAAACTCACACTGATCACAGGGGTACTGCTACAGAGAGCCAGCAAAAGAGACACTACGGATGCATCAGGGGAAGGTCTACACTCACTTACCACTCTGTTAGCACTTCTGAGTCGGCAGCTTTGACTCAAATAATATTCTCTCATTCTCAACTTCCCAGGGAAAACAGAATGAATATATTTGTCAGTAAAATTATTCAATATTGGAAATAACAAACAATAATCACAATAACAATAAACTATTATTTACATAGAACATTTTGCTCTGTAAAAAAATATTATTTTATTTAAAATTTACTCTGATTACATGTAAAACAAATTTGTACAGAAGTTGTAATGTTTTGCTGATAATAAGAAATTCAACATACAGTAAAATGGACTTTGACTGGCAACAGAGTTAAGAATACACAACAGACTTATAATAAACTACTTAGTCACAGTCCTCCTTCCATTATATTCAGGTGAAGAACTTCCTGAAAATCTCAACAGGTGTTATACGACACTAACGAAAGATACTGTACAGTGATCTCACAAATAATAAAAGAAAGTGCTGGCGGAATTATTACGAGAGGGGCGACACGTGTTTTATTACTGTTTAAAGACTGTTGTTAGGGACAGGCAGTCTTATAGAAATGTAAAAACAGTTTAGTCAGACTTTTCACCGTATTTTGCATAAACAAATTTGCCTTCTTTGTTTTTGGTAAGTCAGTACTTTTGTGATGAAGATAACGGTTAAAAAATTTATTGGCAAAGTTTGGAGTACAGTTTGCCGATTCTGAGTAATTCAGTCTTCAGTCAGGTCTTGACACTGAGGGGGGTATCACTTCTCACTGCCACGCAGGACAGAGGTTCATACACAAAGAAATACATCATATTCATTAACAGTATATATAGGAAAGTGTTAAACCAGGGTGAGCTGAAAACCTGTTTTATAAATAAAATAAATATCCATCTTCTGAGTAAATCGATTTTATGAATGAATCAGCTTATTCACAGATGTGCATAAGTCTTTTAGCAACATACCTGTATGTGACTGATACTCTTAAAGCTATTGTCATGCATCACACGACAGTCAGTGTGCATTTACGTACAATATTAAAACGCAATCACTTTAGAATTATTGTATGAAGGTACTACATCTACATTTATATTAACCGTTAACTTAAAATGTATGTACTTATTGCAATACAGATAAAAACTATATACATAGAGAATAGATCAACTTGCTACACCTACCAAGTCCTGATGCTGAGTAATTGAATGATAAATTAGGTAAATGTATAACCAATGGCTCTCACTGTGTGTGTGTGTGTGTGTGTGTTTGTTTTATTTTTTTTGCGAAATCGGCTATTTTCCTAAAACGTCTGTCAATTTTCAAACCAACCAAAAACCCGGGCATTTTGTGAAATGACCATTTTGCAAAGAAATAAGTATTGCTAATTTTGTAAAATAACAGCTAATCTTATTGGTCAATTTGCAAATACACCAGACAATATTCACGTGATAAGTGAATTTACTTCAGGTGAAAAAAAAATATGAATGGAAAATTGTCTTCTATTGAAGGGTGAAAAGAGTGAAGGGAAGTCTCTTCAGTACATAAAAAAATAAACAATTATCAGTTCTTATTACTCAAACTTCTTTGCACAAGTGGAGCTGCATTTATATGTGCTCTTGGGCAGTTACACTTGATGAAGCCCTCTCCGTGCCTCACGCAGACTTACTGCCTTCCCATCTGGTACATCTGCAATGGAGAGGACCTTCTCCACACATGTATGGGGTGAACTGATTTTGAGTATAAAACTTTTTCAAGATTCCATGTTTCGTCTCAAGCTTGTACAGGTATGTTCCATTTTCCTTCACCTGAATGATTACTGACTTTGCGATGTAAATTCTGTACGTCCACAATCAACGAGTGGGATCGGATCCATCACAGTGCCGCCCACTTCGGCTGGCTTAAATCCCCTCACAGAAACCGCAGTCATTTTCTTTTCCTGATCCTGCTGTTTCTTCTGGCTTGAATACCCTGCTGTCGGTCGGTATCAGAGAACAGACTCACCATACACTTCTTCAACATTATCCACCACAACAGAGCATGGAGAGTAGGAATGACATGGAACTTCCACAGTCCTCGCACTTGTTAGATCCACAGCAATTCTTACGGCAGGAAACACATATCGGTTTGGTGCCGGCTTGGTTGGAGTCGTCCTCCTGCTCCTCGTTGGTTGAATCCGCCTCGATTTCTGCTCCTAATGCTTTTGCGAGCTGCTCCTCTGTCTCCAAAACCACTTCTACTTCCTCCGGCAGATCACTCACAGCAACACCAAGACGAGGCTTCTGTCCAAACCTCGCCTCATAGGGTGTTCTACCGATTCCAGGTCTTTGGCCTGTTTGTAGGTTATTTTGAAAAATTACCAATATGCTTGTCTGTTTGCAAAATGGACGAACATTTAAGGTCATTTTGAAAAATGACCGACGTTTTGGTTTGTTTGCGAATTGCCCGGTCTTTTTGCAAAATAACTGATTTAAAAAAAATTAACAAGCTCTTTAGAGCCAAAAAGAATATGTAATGTTTAAAAAAGGCAAAGATAAAAAAGTTCATTGCCTTACGACAACATAAGTCCAAGAGGTACGCGAAAACTTTCAAGGCCAACCTCCAACCATCCTTTACCAGAAGGTAACTCCCACACTGACGATATATTCCCAGCAAACACCAGTAACCTCCTGACCTCAGTCTGCCAGTGGTCACATCTACACGTTGTCATGCACACTCGTGACAGATGTCACTTGGGAGATGCTGCAGACACTTTGCTATTGAAAAATGCTTGAGTGCCTGTGTCTGGGCGCTGTGGTAGAGTGGGCACCAACAGCAGCAGATAGCGTAAAGCAGATGACGCCCAGTTTGTCCTGGCAAGGGCTAGGGCTGGGTGACTCAAGGAGGAAGGGAAGAGATAAACTTTCGTCACCCGCCTCAAGCTTACACCTACATACTGCCCGATCACATTTATAGTTAGTTGGCCAAATATCCTGCATCTGTGGACTGAATACCTCGCTTCTCTAATAATTTCCATCTTACTTTGCTCCATTATTTATTTTCATTGTGAATCCGTAGCTCAGTGGTAGAGAGCATTCATTTTGAAAACGAAGTTCTTACCGACAATAGGAAAAGCCCTTCGGTGGGTTTAGTACCCTGAGAAGAATGTTGGGCTGCTGCTGTTGAATATAGAGAATCTACGGAACAGCACTTGACAGATGGAACCACGCCATAGCAGGAAGTACTTTAGTCGAATGAAAAAGTACATATTTATCCAGGATGCAATATTCGTTTACTGATATTATGCACCCCAGAGACACCTAAATGTGATCGGTGTACAGTATATTAGGGTTTACCTTATGGCTGGGGGAAGGGAGGGTGACTGCACGAGTATGACAGAGAAAAAGTGCGAAAATCAGGCATAAGGAAGAGGAGGGGGAGTGACAGAGGAAGTACCTCGATGTTCCTGATGAGAGTTCCACGATCCCACTCCAGCAAGATGGCCCCCGTGGGTCGACCCAGCTGGTGGTAGGCGAAACATGTGATTACCTCACACACCTGGTCATCCAGCACACCTGTACCTTAGCTTCCACCATACCTTTACCTCAACATCCACCACACCTGTAACTCAACATCCACCACACCTATAACTCAACATCCACCATACCTGTACCCCAACATCCACCACACCTGTACCTCAACATCCACCATACCTGTACCTCAACATCCACCATACCTGTACCCCAACATCCACCACACCTGTACCTCAACATCCACCATACCTGTATCTCAACATCCACCATACCTGTATCTCAACATCCACCACACCTGTACCCCAACATCCACCACACCTGTACCCCCACCATACCTTTACCTCAACATCCACCACACCTGTAAAACATCCACCACACCTATAACTCAACATCCACCATACCTGTACCCCAACATCCACCACACCTGTACCCCAACATCCACCACACCTGCACCCCAACATCCGCCATACCTGTACCTCAACATCCACCATACCTGCACCTCAACATCCAACATACCTGTATCTCAACATCCACCATACCTTAACATTCACCACACCTGTACCTCAACATCCACCACACCACCACACCACATACCTCAACATCCACCACACCCACACTTCAACATTCACCACACCCACACCTCAACGTCCACCACACCCACACCTCAACGTCCTCCACACCCACACTTCAACATCCACCACACTCACACCTCAAAATCCACCACACCACCAAACCCACACCTCAACATCCATCACACTCACACCTCAAAATCCACCACACCTGTACCTCAACATCCACCACACTTGTACTTCAACATCCACCACACCTGTACTTCAACATGCACCATACCTGTACCTCAACATCCACCACACCTGTACTTCAACATGCACCACACCTGTACCTCAACATCCACCACACCTGTACTTCAACATCCACCACACCCACACCTCACAACATCCACCACACCTACACCTCAACATCCATCTCACAATCCATTACACTCACAAGTCATCATCTACACCATACCAGCGAGTATCTCCATAAATTTCCCAGATTATGTATTTACTGAAAATAATTGTAACTCATAGATGTTAATATTCATGAAAATAACAGTAGCTAGACAACACTGCTGCGTGTGTACCGTATCTCTGTTAGACATAAGGCTCCAACTTACTCAGGGTCAGAATAAAACTTTCCTTATGTCACTGAAAAAATAGTTAGTAAAATAAAAAGGCCAGATGAATATACCCTTCTTTTAACCTCTTTTTGGGGTGTGGGGGGGGGGGGTGCAAAAGGTACTCATCACAAAGTTAATAAGAAATATATGGAGTTAATATTTTGAAGTGACCACTTGCTTATTTAGTTTAAGAATTATTTTTAATTTATCTAAAAAAAGAAGTTGTAATTCACATAGATGATTTTAAATTATAAATTCAAGGCTTCTGTTGTATAGGGGGAGCATTAGTTAATTTATCATTAATTTCTGGCGTATGTGAGAAGAAAATGCAGGTTATAGCAGGTAGCTCATGGTAAATAATGTTTTTGTTCTGTTATTACTGTCTTCAACAACTAAGGTCTTTTAAGCGCGTAACAAGGTTAGTAATTACACTATTACATCAACAACTAAAATTATGAGAGATAACTCTAGAACGAGATAAACACAGCACGGTCCTGGATACTTGTACACACAATATATATGGAGTTTTAAGCTGTCAACTTTGGTCAATGTTCTTTAAACAGTTTGTGTTAATACTTCACTTGTCATTATGGCGGGCAACATCACCCTAGCCTTATGGGGAGTTAAAGGTAATTATTTTGTTAGTAAATTACTGCTTGACGAACATGTGTCATGATATGAAAAAGCTAAAACAAGGTAATAAGTGAGGATATATATTACAGAATCTCTTGCAGGCGAGTGATAAAGACTAGTCTAGGTGATGAAAGGGCAGCTCTAACCTTTTCATTGTAGTGGTGGACGTCATCCATGTGGCGCGGGTAACCAGACACCAGGTAGCCTCGGCTGCGTGGCGTGAGGTGCATCTCACGAGCCAGGAGAGCGAGGGCGATGGTGGCAGAGATGGACTGTGGCGACCCAAGATCTGTCGAGATGGACAACCACATGGCCGACTCTCAGTCATGCATGAGTGGTGATGACTTTATGCTGATGAATCCAAGAGTGGCACAGTACATCTTCACACATTAATAGTACACATAATCATTTATACCTCTCAGGTAACCTTGACCTCACCACTTACCTGATCATATCTTCTCTTTTCAATAATCAGTAACGTCCATAAATGACAGACGTTGATAATAACTGCTCTCAATAACCCTGGGTCTCCTACATCAAGACGGTTTTATCTAAATGTGAGCAAATGATAAAGGTTTACCGAGTTCATAATAAAAGTGTGCAGTGGCTCATGCTCCACCCTGTGACAACAGATTATCGTATATCCTCAGTTCATTATGTGCTGTTTCTCTAAAGTTAACTGAAAAGGACATAGTTAACAAAAATTTAAGTGGAGGAGACTTGACTGAGCAACAATTATGTTAAATCATGATTAATGGCATTCCATACATTCCCATTAATTTAACAACAGTCGGAAATTCTCCTTGTTTAATGACTGCAAAATTTAATTCATCATTGGCGAAATACTTCATGTTCCACTGCACAGCCACCCGCAGTAAAAATAAAATATACCAAACTACTGAAGAAAATATTTATATTAAGCAAAATCTCCTACTAATACGACTATACATAAGCGGAAGAGAAATTTAAATGATAGTTGCTGTAGTGTTATATAAAAAAAGAGTCCGTCATAAATGGAGATTCATATTTTAGGTGAACATATGTACAATAATTAAATGGTGTGGGTGAGTTGTGGATGATGACCCAGAAACAAGGTTCATCACTGACTGTTAGTTGTCGCTGAGGCAAATAAATTGGTTACCTAAAGTACCTGGAACCCTAGCCCCAAGTTTCATCTGTAAAGTTTATATATATATATATATATATATATATATATATATATATATATATATATATATATATATATATATATATATATATATATATATATATATATATATATAAAGTGAGGACGATATATAATGTGATGGGTTTGTACTGTAAAGTGCAAAAGTTCGGTTTATCTTAAACAGATTGAAAGTTCTTAGTATCATTTCATATTGCATCATGTTGGTGTGTGTTTTACATTATACCGGTGGCCATCCACGGCACCACCTATCATGTCACAGACGTTATATTATTGTGTTTGTAATGCTGGGATGCTGTGTATCATATGGAAAACCAATGACGTGTATCTTTCCTTAAAGAGATAAACAAGAAGTTGAATATGTGCTCATGGAAGCCAAATAACTTTATATAAAAATGAAAATAATATTACTAAAAATAATTATTGATTCTCTCTAAACAGAATATAAAAGTTTGCTTCAGATCGAAACAGGGAAAAAAAATCATGAACTGAAGAATAAAATACCAATTTATAGCCGAGAACCCTCAAGTGACCTGTACGAGACACTACACCACCCCCAGTGCCTGTGAGTGTAGGCTGCCAACGTGGAGGAAGCGTACAATGCTAAATGGTATACATTATCCATACTGACTTGTTGTGCCTCGTGCGAGACGCCTGCATCTTCCTCACCTACAGTAGTCCAATACTGACGCCACGTTCTTCTCAATGATCAGTGAGGAGCCAAGAGGTCATGGAGCTGCTCGCACCTCCAGGTTTAATTACCATGAACCACGACCCAACCAAATGGGACCTCGATTTTCTGCCGACTTATGACTTCGCTCAAAGGAGAGGGGAATTTTTGTTTTGTTTTACCATAATCAGCTCTCACTTTATATCCTATGAGACCTCACAATTGACTAAACTAGATCAGGAGAATGGGGAGTAGGAGGAGGTCCTGTCAGATATACATTCTAAACGAATCCCCGATTAATAAGCACAACCTAAAAGGAAAGAAGGAATAACCATGAAGAGTGTACCGTACTGAGCCACACAACCAAAAGGAAAAAGCTCTCCGCTTGGAACTCTGTTAAATTCGAGGAAGTCCCGCATATATCTGTATCACTAGTCTTGAGACGTTATGGGAACTGGTCATTCCAGCATGGCAGTTATAATAATATTAACATTTGATCAGTAAAATTGTCATACATGTTCATAATTGGGTAAGCATGTTTATAAACTATGCAGTTATACAATTCGGCATGAATATAGACAATGCAGGCACAGGTATACGGTACAGTGCACGTAGATAGCAGGCAGCTATCAAACAGGGAGGTACTACCGCCAGGGAAGATATTGTAATCATTATGTGTTGTCTAATGGTAGACCCTGCTGCCATATGGCATCACAAAAATTGTGACCAAGTCCCAGGTTGTTGATCTGACTTTCTGCCTCATTTACCCACAATTGCAGGGTCTCAATTGTTTCTCTTACTTTGACAACACAACATATACACCGTTTCACTCTTTATTTGTTGTATTTTATATTTTTTTATTTATTATCATGAAGTGGGTCAGTGACCTGTGCTCGGGTGGCTTTGTGCCCATAAAAAAGGGCCGCGGGAGTATACAGTTTCCTGTATGCCGAGACAGTGTAGGTGAACAACACTGGTAAACATTAAGGTAACTTGACCAAAGAAAACTGGCAAAGCTGTCTGGTACTTATTTCCAGTAGGGTCCTTTGCTTAGGCTTACTCTAGGTCTCAAATTAGTAATAGTTAATTTGATAGAATTTAAAAAGCATTACATTGCTCTTGGGGTATCCGAGACTGGCGGATCACTGCCACAGTAGTACATTCTACGGTTTAATAACACAGAAACTCACTCTCTTCTCATGCTGTAGCCTCATCTGTTAAGTATTTCTTTGTTTTAGCTCTGAATTGTTTAATACCGTGACTGGTTTTGATGTGGTCTGGTTACTTGTTGCTGCAGTCTGTTATTGCAGTAAAGAGGAGAGTGTTTTTCGCTTCACCAGGTGCCATAACATTAAGTTCACCCCCTCTAGTGCCCTGCCGGTTTATATCCCTAATCCTTGCAAAGTTTGTTTTTAAATACTCTGGGTAGAAACCATTGAAAATCTTGTAAGCGCAATTCAGCTTCAGTTGCTTCACTCAATCCGCCACACTTAACATGTTCAGGGATTGAAGAACTTTGTGACCAACGTGATCTCTTGCTTCCATGTCAAAAATGAACCTCACAGCCATGTTTTTTAATAATTTGTAGCTTGGATTTTAGCTTCTGAGTCAGGACAGAGTACCATGACGAGCAAGAAGAGTGCAACTGACATTGTATGAGGGCCAAACAAAGGATCCTACGGCCATCAGCTGAGAGGCCTTTAGTATTTCTATGGATAAATTCTATTTTAGCATTATTTTTTTAACTATATTATCAACGATTAATTCACCAGACAAACAAGAGTTAAGAGTTAGTCCAAGTTATTTCACTGAGGTTACAGATGAGATGGTTCATTCCCACAAAGTACAATGAAGTCGTTGACCTTTTTGAGCGTCCTTTTTTATCTAAATAATATTACATCAGTCTTTCCATGGTGTAGGAATAATTTGTTGTCTATGAGCCACTGTTTGCATGACTCCAGTTCAGATGATAACTCGTTAACTATATCATTTGGATCAGTAACTTCTGACACAAACCCTGCCGTATGATTGTCAAAAAATTTTTCAACCGAAACAGGCGACTTGTATGACAAAGTAAAATCAGGTTTTGTAGGCCTGACGGTCCGTTTAGTACAGTGTGGATACAATACACAAATCCTTTTTCGGTGCATAAAGAGGCAATGTGCTTGACCGCTTTCACCTCTCCAGGTATAAAGTGAGAAACCCATTTACAACTGGGTGGACTGGGCGCAAAATAGCGACCCTTATGACCGCTGCATATTAAATCTTCCAAAATAAATATTCTTTTCATAAACAAGCGTTTGTCTCCAGCAACTAAATTTATGTCCTCATAACGATTGGTCGAATCCTTCCTCATAACCTAATCCAAGGACTATGTGACCTAACCAAGCAGGGGACCAGCTTATTCCCAACTTTCTCTCACTGTTCCACTACACTCAATTAAACTTACAGAAGCCAAACTACCCATGTATACAATCGCCATTAAGACCCCAAATGCTTCCAGGTTGCTGGCGACACCACCTGGCTACCGTTACGCATGTAAATAAAACTTAATTTCATAAATCAAACACCAAATGTATTTTAAAACTGCGTAAAATAAACCGAAACTGAAGAATATTGTAAATAAATATTGTATACAACGACTCCATGACCCGGTGTCTCTCTGGTCTTTGAAAAACTTCCGAATTTGGAGACTGTGTGAGAAGGCTGCAACAAAAATTTATTTCATTATCGTCCATATGGATAATGTACCGACCACCGAGCGCTGTATGGTTCCAGAGTAAGAGCAGGCACTCTGCAATGGTATATCTCTTGAAGGTCATAATATCCATTAAACATAAATTCACTGTGAGACGAAATCAATATTGTATAAACATACACACAAAAAAAAAACATCAAAATGCCTAATATTGTTTCCTGAGCAACATATTCACCGCCTTGTTGTTGTAAAAGAAATTGAGACACATTTGTGGCTCACCAAGTTACTGATCAAGAGCACCATAGTGTTTCCAGCTGCCAGCGTCGCAAGTGCTGGATCCTGCAGCTGTTCCTGAGGCTCGTCACCAGCCTGACCAAGTCACCGGCCTGGTAAAGTTACAAGCCTGGCTAAGTCACCAGACTGCCCAAGTTACTGGCCTGGTCGGTTCACTAGCCTAGCGGAGTCACTGTCCTGGAGGTATCCTCAGTCAAACTGGACCAGATCACCAGCTAGATAATGCCACCAGCCAGACCATATTACTAGTTGGATCTGGTTACCTGCCAGGCCACGTCACCAGTCTGATCACTAGTTGGATCATGTAACCAATGGGCAATGGTACCAGTCAGGCCATGTCACCAACCAGACCATGTATCCTGACGGGCCATGTATCCTGACGGGCCATGTCACCAATCGGACCATGCCACCAGCCGGGCCATATTACCAGCCAGGCCATGTCACCAGCTGGGCCATGTCACCAACCTGTCCAGGTCATCAGCTCAGCCACATCACAGGTCACCTGCTTGACCGGTTACCTGGGTGGCAAGATCAACAATGAGGCCGTGTTAAGTCCTCAATTTAATCAGGAAGATCAGCAGAGTGGCCAGTCACCAGGCCGCCGCTGATGACTTGGATGCAGTACAGGTGAGGCTGGTGACAAACAGGAGATACGTGAGCAAGGGCAACTACCTTTCGGGACCATCGCCTCAACGGCCTCGCTCGTCACCTTGTGGAAAGGGAAACGTTTTCCTCTTTTAGTCACGAGTCTCGTCGTCGATTTTGTTGCTGTGGAGATAACAGAGCGATGACATTTCTCTAGAAATCGTCACACTTACCTCTTACAAATCACACTATCTTGTTACACTTCACATTATCTTGTTGCATATCACACTAACCTCTTACACATCACATTAATTTGCTTCATACCCCACAAACTTGTTTATGCGACAGTAACTTGTTACATTTCACACTCACCTTTTGTTACGTATTACGCTATATGAAGACCTTCTCTAACACTCACTTGTCAACTTTCTAAGAGTTCATCTACCTTAAGCTAGAAAAACCAGGATAGCACCACCCTGTTTCCTCATCTTCATCAACGATGCCTTGAAGGATACTCCCGCTCGTTGGAAATTATGTCGACGACTTCACCATTGGCCTTGGTACGAACACCTCCGCTCCTAATTGCAGCACCCTCCAAAACATTCTGTATAGTCACTACTCCAGAACTGATCCGCCGCCAATCTTGTCATCACCAACCATACCAAGGCATCAACCTCTCCTCCGACAATGAGCCACCTCCTTCCTTCACAATGGACCACCAAACTCCTGCCGTCAGTATAGATGACAAGCTGAGTTGGAAAGTACACCTCAACGAAGACTTCAAGAAAAAGTGCGGAAGAGAGGCGATAAGTTTATTGACTCTCTCAACTCTACTAATCATCATCTTGAACCTATTTGTCAGTTTGAGACAAATCTGCCACACCATCCTCGCCCTGAAACTTGCTGCCACCTAAGATCCCATGTCCGGGAGCTGCTGTTCGACACAAAAACCATATCAAAGCAACAAGACCTCATACTGATCACGACAAGAACAGCACCATTCCACTCAGTGTATAGTATAATTCATCAATGTTTCGAAGGCAATCTGACTGTTGTCTCCTTATTCTTTATCCTTTGTGAACTGTACCTACACTGAAGGTCCCTCTCACTTGTAACATTATTTTCTGTTATATTTTCTGTTGCATATTTTCTGATTAGTGCCGCTACACACACACACACACCTGTGAGTCACTTCACCAGATGCCCAAATCTGTTTACACCACGACCAAATAAGGTGTAAATTGACATGTCCGTGTTACGGTACTTTTAAGCCATGTTTGGATCCAGTTCTCTGAGGTGCAAGCTCAGCTCTCTTAACAATTTAGCTAGGTCATTCACAACAGATAGGGGAAAACAAAGGCTGAGCTATTATACCTTATAGGCTATGCGTGACATGGGTTCGGTTATAAGTGAATCCTGTTTAATTTAGTTGCGAAGATCACAATAATCGCCACATACGGTCAGGTCTGAGACCGAGGGATACAAGGCGGAGCAAAAATCACTTCTACCACACATTATTCTACACAACCAACTGGTAAATACCTCTAAAATGCCTCTAATGATCTACAGTACTTTACTAGGATAACCGATCCGTGCAATGTTATTAAGCCTTAGTTATCGTGTACATTAAGTACCAGATAACATCAATGTATTATTTATATTTACCTATAAGATGAAATTTAATTTTAACATTTTAGTCATGATTTTAAGGATAACTGAGACTAACCGTTTTCCTTGATGTACTCGCTGATGACTACGGTGAGGTTGATGTGTCGGTAGCCCTCGTGGATGTCAGACAGGTTCTGTGCATGCGTCATCTTGCCGCTCCCTGGGCCTCCTACACCAGACGAACAAAGCTCACTATTAAGCATTCCATAAAATCAGTTAAAGTATGTTTATAACTTATTATTGTTGGTAGGAAAATATGACTGTCATACCTTTAAGCGCAGACATACATGTCTGACGTTATTTAATCTTTTAACAATGTAAATGTTATCATGTGACGTTTCTATCTTGAAATTACAGTGTCACACAACCTAGTCAACAAGCACGCTTATCCGCTGTTCTTTTGACAAGTTTATGGGGTGATTTAAGAATTCAGATTGATCTATCAGCCTGTAGCACGTTAGGTTAGATTTAGTTCAGATAGATTGATTTGGTTACATTAGAATAGGTTAACTTAGCGTAAATACGATTGATTTGGTTACATTAGAATAGGTTAACTTAGGGTAAATACGATTGATTTGGTTATATTAGGATAGGTTCATTTTTAGTCAGGTTGGTTTGGTTACATTACGTTAAGTTAGCTTAAGTCAGGGTAGTCTGGTTGGATCAGGATAGGTTGGTTAAGTTATATTACGTTTGGTTAAGTCATATTGCTCTGTTAGGTTTGTTGGGTTATATTAAGTTCAGGTTGGCTTAATTACATTAGGTCACGTAAGATTATTTTAAATTAGGTTAAATTAAGTTTGTTTATATTAGGTTAGGTTAAAGATAAGGATAGGTTAGGTTAGGTTAGGTTAGGTTAGGTTAGGATAGGATAGGATAGGTTAGGTTAGGTTAGTTTAGAGTTAAATCAGACCAAGGATAAGTTAGGTCTATTTTGACTTGGTTACCATAAATTATGCAAAGTTTGGCCAAGTGATGAACCAGAACAGTGATGAACAAGACAATGATGACCTAAGACAATAAAGAACAGTGATGACCATGGAAACGATGACCCAAGACAGTGAAAACCCGTCAGAGAGAGAGAGAGAGAGAGAGAGATAATGACCGAGGAAGAAGATGACGGGTGCCCCTGTGATGGCCTCGGTGGGGGCAATGTTGGTGGGTCCAGGAGGAGCCGTCGTAGCTGGGGTGGTCGCCGCTGTCGTCTCTGCCTCTCCGTTCCTTCCCTCCCCTACCAGCGGCGACCCACTGCGATCTGTGGGGGAGGACGACCTGTTAGTTGACTGTATGGTATGGGACGACTTGTTAGTTGACTGTATGGGATGGGACGACTTGTTAGTTGACTGTATGGGATGGGACGACCTGTTCATTGATTGTGAGGATGGAGATTACCTGGCATTTGACTGTGTGGGAGGAGACCAGTTACTGACTGTGTGGAAGAAAGACACCACTTCTTTACGATAATGAGATACCAGCAAGCAGATTCTTTGGGCTGTACTCGGTGGGTGAGGAGCAAGTCTTCACCCTACTCACCACTTGCCCCGCTCCTCACCCACCGAGAACAGCCGGTACTGGGCACTCACGACTCCTCCACTCCATCACTTTGTTTATCTTGAGTATATTTTGTTCTTGAGTGTTGTAACATGTATGACTATCTTTGAATATTCACCTGTAGGATTTAAGCTTTTGTTTTTGCTTTGGATGGTTAAAATGAAGCGAATGTTAATAATTAATAACTCAACGGATCGTTTATTCAATGCGTTTATTCATTGTTTTTATTTCTCTCTTAATGTACTTACTTATTTATCTTATTCTATTGTCATATTAATTTTGAGTTTTCTTCGATGCTATTGTATATTTGTTTTTTTTTGTTTTAGGTCTGATGATGACAAATTTCCGTATAAAAACTCCAAGAGTGTTAAGCCTCGTAAGTGAAAATGTACGAATGTACGTATCTAACTCGTTGTCGAGCTAAAGCACGAAAATAAACATGTAACATACCATTTAGAGTTATATTGAAATTCTACCTGAAATGGGCACATATATTTAGCGCAAGACACAAGGAACGCAGACAATTAGTTGGAAAAAGATCCCTTAATTTTGACCTTAATCACCATGCGAATATTTGAGATGTAGGAGTCCTGGCAACTCTGTCATAACCCCAACTTAGTAGCTGTAGGATGGCGTCAACATCGCCATCTAAGATCATACTGATAACCAAATCATGCAACCTGTGACTTTCGGGCCCTCTGCTGCCCAGATCTGACGTCCCTACAGTATTTGCCCTCGGTCTTCGGAGCGATAATGGTGTAAATTGGAAGAATTCTCGAGTATGAAAGTATAACATGTGTTGATTAACCTTACCACAACGTAACGCCAGCTAATGACTCCCAGCATGTACCAATGTAACCTATGCCTCTGTATACTAAGCCTACCCTACACTATCCTAAGCTCAACCTAATCTATCATATCTAAACCTACAGTAAGCCCAACCTAACCAAACCCAATCTAACAGCGAGATGAATGCTTAATGACGTAAAAGTTCGCCAAGAATAAATTAGCTCATGCCACACCAGGAAACGTGTGAATTATACCAATTGTGTCCGACCGGCAGCGGTGACCTAAGACACGTGTCTTCTGCAGCGCGGGTGGAAGTGGTGTTAACTGGATTGGCGAAGGTGGCCTAGATGGTGTTAACCTGCCTAGTGACGCTAATCTGCCCGGTAGTGTGGGTGACCTCGGTGGTATTAAGTTTCCTCAGGTAAGTGACCTTGGTAATGTTGGCCTTTCTCAGGGCCTTGGTGATGTTGACCTGGATAGCGTGGGTAACCTAGGTGGTGGTGGTGGTGGTGCAGTGGAGTTGCAGAGACTATGACCTGGGTGGCGTGGGTCATCGCGTGTTCTCGTGTTAAAGGTGTGGCGTCTGACGGGGGAGAGAACCTTCACCTTGGCCCCGCAGGAGAAAGCAGGCGACCGAACCTCCCTGGATTCACCAAGATGCGTACGACAATTGTCCTTCTATCCTGTCTATTAGGTACTGTACCTATAATAATAATGTTCAAACTCACGCTTCACAATGACTCTTATGACTTTTCTTCCTTTAAAAGATGACAAGAGAAAATTTATTAACGGAGCACTCCCAGATCTTCGGGATTCAAAGAAATTCCTACAAAGTCAAAATCCTAGTCTAAATTCTGTTTTTCTTTAACTTCCGAGATGTACTTGGGTGAAGGATCAAATTAACATGGGGGGGGGGAAGTGTCTGGACGTTAAATTCCCCCAACGTAAGCTACTACTCACAGCCAGAATGGGGTCAGAATCTCACTGTGACTCTACCGAAAAGATACGTTTTCTTATCCCCAGTCATGTGATATTTCTCTTACGAGTCTTTGATAGTGTGATCCTTGCCAGCGCCATGACTTTTGAGGTGAGGTGAGGTCACCCCCTGTCAATCACCCAACAGAGTGTGTGTGTGTGTGTGTGTGTGTGTGTGTGTGTGTGTGTGTGTGCGTGCTCATATAGTCATTTAGTGTGGTACGCACACCCTTATGGCTGTCTTCATTATTTACGTTCTGAATCCATGTACACTTTGTCTGCGTGCCTGTCTACTCATGTGTAGATGTCATAAGAACATATGCCTGTGTCAGTTAAGATTCCTTGAACAACTTGTGTGTAAACGAGTGTCTTTACAGTTTTGTCTACGTCAGAATATGAGTGCTGTGGTTATCATGTCTTTATCGCTGTGATTATAGTGTGTCTCTACAGCAGTGATTATAGTATGTTTATGCCGCTATGAAAACAATGTGTTTCTACAACGGTAATGGCAGTCTGTCTGAGCAACTATGATTATAATGAGTCTGTACCGCTGTGATTATTGTCTCGCATTACATCTTAGATTATTAGTGTATCTTTGCATCTGTAGTTGTAGTATGTTTGTGCAGCTGTGATTACAGTGTGTCTATACAGCTGTGATTATACTGTAGTGTCTGTAGAATAATGTGTTTATGCTGCTGTACAAATGTGATTATAATTCCCCTTTGTAAATTTGATTATAGTTTGTCTGTACAGCTATGATTAGTGTCTGTTGAGATTCTATTATTGTACCTGTATCACTATGAATATTGTGACTGTACCACTGTGATTATTGTGCCTGGACAGTTGTATGTAGCCTACAAGCGTGGCCAACTCGTACAATGTACACATACGTCTGTACATCTATGATATAATGCACAGCTAATGAGCATCTCGAAAGTATGTAGGGAAGCACATCAATATTCACATTAAGCGCATGAACGCATGGTCTAGGAATTAGCACAACTGCATTAAGCAACTCCCCAGCAGTCACAATTGGTCACATGTGGCGATAAATGCACCGCTTACCCCCTTGTGGTGGTTGACAGTGACGGGTATACTCAACAGTCTCTCTCACAGCCGGAAACAGAAAATACCGTAACATAAGATCAAGGAAAACTCTCTTTGATCTTGGCGTCAATATTTTCTTGGAGAATCACGGTATTAACTTTTTGACGGTAGCTAATCGCAGTTCACACCTCGAAGGATATATACAATTTGGTAACTTGGCTTATTTTGATTAATTGCTATCTGTCACGAAAATGATAAGACGCAAAGTAAAAAAATATAAACATATTTTTATTCTTTCATTGTGTGATTCATGATTATGTGGAGGAATATTAAAAGTCATAATTCCAGCCAATGTTGTGTCGAGAGGAGCGCTAAACAAACGCGATTTACAGTTCAAAGAAATAATACAATTCGGCAACTTTATTTTCGTGAAAGATTGCCAGTAGTCACAATATTCATAAAAGATAAACAAGAAAAAAATTCCCTGGTATAATAGTACTGCCAATGATTTTATGTAGAGTAATTAATAGTTTCAATTTCAGTCACTATTGTGTTGCATATGGCAGCAGGTAAGACAATTTAATGTCTTAATGAAATTACAAAACTAGTCAAGTTTGCACATTAACATGATGGACTGCCCAAAGACACGACATGCTGTACCAGGGACGGGTATTTAATCATGAGGGGCGATCATGCTATTGCGCGTAATAAGCGTAACTGTAATACGCCATTTGTTTAATTCGAAACACACCAATACTACAAATTTGCATAATGGTGAGATTGCATTACCAAGCATCACGCATCAGTGGCCACTGGAGTGCTCGTTAGCTCCAACCCCGAGGAGCATTGTTGGCTGTAAAAGGGAGAAGTGTCACCTAAATCACGTTAATCTAACAGGGTGTTAAGACTTAAAACCTAAATCACTAGGGCGGGAAGGACTTTCATCTCCTTAACATACTAGAGGTGGAATTTGATCTACAGTATTATTCTGGTGGAGGCCATTTGTTCGTCCTACCACAGTAGTGAAGGGATTTGTCCAGTTTCATCATACTTGTATAAGGAGTTTCTTTAATTCGTCATTCTAGTGGAGGAATCTTGTCCAGGATAGAGAGATAATCTCCACTTTGCTAACTCTGTAATGGGATAATTAACTCTTGTTAGAAATCGTCTTGTGGGATTTTAGGATTTCCCTCCATATACCAAGTATCTCACACTCCACCAATCTCACTCATCCTTACTGCCTGCCACAAGCACCTTCACTCACTGCCTGCCACAAGCACCTTCACACATATGAGGAGTGTGAGTCATAGGAGGAAGTATACCAGTGATTCATAGGATGAAGAGTATGCGTGAAATCAATGGAGGAGGAGGAGGAGGAGCATGAGACACTGGAGGGGAAGTAATAATTAGTCACAGGAGAGTGTCATTGGCTCAGGGGAGGGGAAGTGTGAGTCCCAAGGGTAATAATAGCAGTGAGTCACAGAAGAGTAACACTGGGCCACAGAAGAGGAGGAGTGATAGTGAGTTACTGGAGGAGCACCAGTGAATCTCGGGAGGAGTAGGAGTACCAGCGAGTAGCAAGTAGGAGGAGCGGCAGTGAGTCACAGTCGGAGGTGTGCTAGTGAGTCATAAAAATAAAAAAGGGTGACTGAGTCATAAGTGGAGGAGGAGTATAAGAAGTGGAACTGAGTCACAAGATGATGATGAGTGGGACTGAATCACAGGTAGCGTGAGGTTTGCCGTACGGTCGTCAGGTCGCGGTGGTGTTATTAAGAGAGGACATGTTTCCCTGCTGAGTCCTCCATGAACGATATTGAAGATAATATTCCTTAATTCCTCTCTTAGCTCGTTCTCACGCGAGACTCCTTGTCGCAGTCCTACCGCATTCAAGCC